GCGAGGGTTAGGCTAGGCGAGGGCTAAACCTTTGCCCGTGCGGGAAGGCTCGCGGTTCTTTCTAGGAGGGCGAAGGGGTTAATTATCGGGTGCGTTCGACATGCTAACACTCTGCGAACAGGTTAGCGGGGGCTAAAGCCCCATTTGCCTATTTTACGGGTTGACCGTGGGAAAAACTGTGAAAAGGAAAGAGCTGCGAGGATTCCGCGGCCGTCGGTGTTAGCCTGTCGAACAGGGCCGAAGTAGTGTCTGGTCGAACCCTGCACCGTTGAATTTTCCACTGGCAGCCATCTACGGCTCAGTTGTCGGGTGACATCGAGGAAAAGGAAACTGGCCAGAAAAAAGGGCCAAAGGTTCTTGTCTGAGAAGTTTCGAACAAGATGATGGCGCTTGATTTCCGAATTCAGCGTCGTGCAGTCCCCACGTGTATTTTCCTCCTTGCCACGGCTCTCATTTCCAGCGACCAATTCACACAACGTTCCACCGCCGTCGCGGAATTTGCGGATGTCGGCGGCGGCGGCGGCGGCAGCGGCGCTGTCGCCATTTCACTTCCAGAATCGCTCTCCTCCTACTCCAACGTGGCGTTGCTAGATCCGCGCTTCGAGCTCTTTTGGACCGTCAACGACAGCGACGCGACCATCCGATTGGCGGTTCGAGCTAACACAACGGGATGACTTGCTATAGGAATCTCCTAGATAAGCTCCATGGCGGGCTCAGGTGCGGGATTCATACGGTCGGGTCGGGTGCGATTCCTGCTCGTTCCAGGCGGACTTTGATAGAGTCACTTCCATCCCTAAAATGTGCTGACCCAGAGGTGACCCTTGTTACAATCCCAAATGGGACTTAGCGAAGGATCGCTCAGGGTTGATCGCAGAGTGGTGTTGCAGCGGAAGTAGTGAACTCAGGTCAGAGTTAATGCAAATGACTGAGATTGACGAAAGCATGCATACATCGTGTTTATATAAGAATACAAGGGAATACGAAAAGACCTAGACTAGCCATGTACTCTAAGGGATACATTCCCTTATTGCAGTGAGTTCAAAAACCGTGCGGCGCGGGAACCCGTTTCAAACCCGTTCCCGCTCTTTTCATTTCAAATGTTTCTGCCTGCATTGGTCTTGGTCAGACAATTTCTGCGTCGCTTCGACTCTTCTGACTCCTCGACTTTGTACTCGGTAGAGTCGGCTTCTGTAGCATACAGGAATGCCTTCTCATACAACTTCATATCGTAACACCCCCCTTCATTCCTGGACGCGGGAGGAGCTGACTCGCTTGACTACTCTGGTGAGATCCGAGCAGTGCTTGTACTGCTGTCATGGCAGTCGTTTGGTGAGGAAGTCTGCTGCCATCTCGGTGGCTGGGCAGCACGCGAGGTCAACTTTCCCCTGGTCAATTTCGTCCTTGACGAAAAAGTACCGAAGCGCGATGTGCTTTGTGCGGTTCACGAAACCTGGCTTGTTCGCGATTCTGATGGCACTCTGGTTGTCGCAGTGAAGGCGAAAGGTGGGCAAAGTTGGAATTTTCGCCTCCTGTAGCAGCTCCTGCAGGTACAGGCCTTCGCGAACTGCTGCTGTCGCAGCGATGTATTCTGCTTCAGCCGATGACAGGGCAACCAGCTCCTGTTTCTGTGAGTTCCAGGAGATTGGCCCTGTTGTTCTAGGCGAAAGACGAAGCAGGTTCGGGACCGTCGATTCACAAGATCAGCTGCAAGGTCTGCGTCCACGTAGCCGTTGAGGTTGAAGGAGGTCGTCGTCAGCGTGGAGTACGAGAGCCAGATGTCAGGTGTGGAGATGAAGTACTGCAGGGCGCGCTCCAGGTCCAGTTGGTTCTCAGCTACTGGTTTGCGTGAATACTGTGCCCGTTGGCTGGCAATGTACGAAAGGTCGAGTCGGCAGGTGACAGATGCGAACAGCAGGCAACCCAGTTGCTGCTGGTACAGTTGAAGTGCCGCAGGGGACAGTGGTTTGTTGTCCGATTTGTAGTTGGTTCTGGGGTTGCAAGGATCATGACTCCCATAAGTAACAAATTGCATGATGGGCCCTGTTCATTTGCCACTACTAGAAAATATAATTCTCACACTACTAAATATTTTGTTGTGGGTCCTCACAGGTTCTCTGTTTTCTTGTCCTAAACAAAATGGAGGTCATGTTCATATAAATTTCATCCCTTTTCTATGGTTTCAGTTTGTTTCCTCTCTTTGTCTATTCCCCCCCTCCCCACCCTCCCCCCCCCCAAACCCCCCCCCCTCCTCCTCCTCCTCCTCCTCCTCCTCCTCCTCCTCCTCCTCTCTCTCTCTCTCTCTCTCTCTCTCTCTCTCTCTCTCTCTCTCTCTCTCTCTCTCTCTCTCTCTCTCCCTCCCTCTCCGAGAGGTAGTCCCTCTCTCTCTCTCTCCCGCTCCCTCCGTCTCTTCCTCTCTCCCTCGCTCTCCCTCTCTATCCCCCTCTTTTCCGGGACATCAATCCAAAATCTCAATCCATACGTGCTAGTGGCGTGGGTGGCGGAGAACGAGGGTCGTTTGTACGCCACGGATTGATTCATCACGAAAGAAGATCTTCTCTCTCTCTCTCTCTCTCTCTCTCTCTCTCTCTCTCTCTCTCTCTCTCTCTCTCTCTCTCTCTCTCTCTCTCTCTTGTCAGAACATATATATATAGCTTATGCTGTTGTGTAGGCTATAGTGGGGTATCCCATAGGGGGTACAGCACAATTAGGGTTTCCTATATGTACTCACTTCATTCATAGTTCATTCATCCTCGTTCTCATTTTCTCATGGTATCAGAGCAGGTCCCCTCCTAGGGACTGTTCCTTGGGCCCACCGAAACGCGCCTCGAGTCGCGCCTGCCCTTTTTTTTAAGCGGCCCGTCGAGTCGCACCTAGCGGCCCGTAGTGCCGCCCTTACGGTCGCGTCGAGCCGCCATAGCGGCTGCGGCGCGCCGCCCCTTTTCCCGGCCCGTCGCCGCCCTTACCCGCGGCTTTACGCCGCCCTCACCGGCGGCTTCGCGCCGCCCCTTACCTGCGGCCCCGCCGCCTCTCTCTTCGCGGCCCCGCCGCCATCTCTCGCTGCGGCCCCGCCGCCACTCACTGCGGCCCCGCCGCCCGTCTTCGCGGCCCCGCCGCCTCTCTCGCTGCGGCCCCGCCGCCTCTCACTGCGGCCCCGCCGCCCTACTCAGCGGCCCCGCCGCCCGACTTCGCGGCCCCGCCGCTTCTCTCGCTGCGGCCCCGCCGCCTCTCTCGCTGCGGCCCCGCCGCCTCTCTCGTTGCGGCCCCGCCACCCTTCCCTGCGGCCCCGCCGCTTCTCTGCAGCGGCCCCGCCGCCCGTCTTCGCGGCCCCGCCGCCTCGCTACGTCAGCGGCCCAGCCGAGCCGCCCAACAGCAGCGCAGCCGAGCCGCCCAGGAGCCGAGCAACCGAGCCGCCGTGCAGCCGAGCCGCCCTGCTGCCGAGCCGCCCTGCCGCCGAGCCGCCCGGGAGCCGAGCCGCCGAGCCGCCCTGCCGCCGAGCCGCCCTGCCGCCGAGCCGCCCTGCCGCCGAGCCGCTTGGAAGCCGAGCCGCCCAGCAGCCGAGTCGCCGGGCCGCCCTACTGCCGAGCCGCCCGACCTGCCCTGCCTGGTGAGCACAGCACCACTGTTACTGCGTGCCCTTCCCCTACTGCTTGCACTACTACACTGTCGTCGTCATGGCTACCCCTAGTGTCCTCGCTTTTGACGCTGAGGGTCGAGCCATTGACTTTGAGGTCTGGGTCGACGACCTGCAGCTGTTCTTACAGTGCGATAGGGCGGACGGTCTTTCCCTCTTTGACCTCACCTCTGGCGCCTCTCCTGCCCCTGCTGCTGATGCTGACCCCACTGTTCGCTCTCAGTGGGCCACCCGCGATGCTGCTGCACGTCTTGCTGTGCGTCGCCACCTGCCTACCACTGAGCGCGCGCACTTTAGTCAGTACAAGAGTGCTCAGACCTTGTACGACGCTGTAGTTGCGCGCTACTCTTCCCCTGCCACTGCTGCCCTTAGCCGCCTCATGCTACCGTACCTCTTTCCTGACCTTGCTGCCTTTCCCACTGTCGCTGACCTCATTACGCACCTCCGCACTAGTGACACTCGCTACCGTGCCGCCCTTCCTGCTGAGTTCTGCGCCAAGAACCCCCCCCCCATGTACATCACTCTCTACTACATAGTCACACGCCTCCCTGACTCCCTTCACGTAGTCAGGGACCACTTCCTCTCAGTCTGTCCCACCACTCTCACTGTCGACCTCCTCGAGAAGTCCCTCCTGGCGGCGGAGAAGAGCATCGTCGCTGTAGGAGCCTCTCGTGGTGACCCTCGCACCCCCATCTTTGAGGGGTGTTCTCCTTCCCCCCTGCTGCCCTCTGTTGCCTCTGCTGCTGCTGCCGACCTGCTTGGTCTTGAGTCGGTCTGCGCGGCGTCTGCCCCTAGCGGGAGACGCCGCCCTGGCAGGGGCAAGGGGGGCAAGGGCGCGGGTGGACCTAGCGGGGGCGGTGGAGGTGGCGGTGGAGGCGGCGGAGGGAGTGGGAGTGGCGGTGGGAGTGGTGGCGGGGGCGGTGGTGGCGGTGTCAGCAGCGGAGGAGGAGGCGGTGGCGGCGGCAGCGGTGGGAGCGGAGGCAGCGGTGGTGGTGGAGGTGGAGGCGGCGGTGGCGGAGGGGGTGGAGCTGGTCGGGGTGGTGCCCCGCAGCGTAGCGGCTCTGGTGGTGGCCAGCGTCAGCAGCAGCAGCAGCGTTCGCGGGACATCCCCCCGCCCCAGCAGCTCCGTGAGTGGTACACGCAGCGTCAGCGGGGTGGGGGTTTTGGTCCGTGCACCTACGTCCTTCGTTCCGGCGACCGCGCGGGTGAGCAGTGTGGAGGTGCCCACCCCACCCAGCGCTGCTTTGGCCGCCTGACGGACGCTTGGCGTCAGCAGTTCCCCGAGGCTAGTGAGATTCCCCGTTGGGGAGAGCTGTCTAGGGCTGGCGTAGCTATCTTTGATCTTGACTTTGATGCTATCCTTGCTGCCATGTATGCTGTGACTATTAGTGAGGAGGGTGACTGTTACCGGTGTTTCCCGCCCGACCCGGGCATTGGTACTGCTGCGCCAGGTACTTCTGCGGCTGCTGCTCTAGGTGCCAGTGCGTCTGCACTCTCAGGTACTGGTGAGGCTGCGCTCTCAGGTACTGCGTCGGCTTCGGCCTCCCTCACCTTCACGCTTGACTCAGGGGCTTCTCGCTCCTTCTTTCGAGACCGCACCACACTCACGCCGCTTGGCCGGCCGGTTGCAGTCTCCCTGGCTGACCCCTCTGGGGGTCCTGTCCTCTCTCACTTCTCCACTGTCCTCCCGTGTCCGGCTGCCCCCTCGGGCACCTTGTCTGGTCTGTACCTCCCCTCGTTCTCGACGAACTTGGTGAGTGGTGCTGACCTGCAGGATGCGGGGGTTCACCAGTTTACTCCTGCGAGTCAGCGGGTGACCCACTGCTCGGACGCCCGCACAGGCCGACACCTGGCCACGTTTTCGCGTCGGCCGGGGTCGAGTCTCTACACCCTGACCACTGAGTCTCCTCCTGTCCCTGCGTCTGGCCAGGTAGCTGCGTCGGGTCAGGTGTTTGCTGCTGCGTCCAGGTCTGGTCCTGAGTCTGCCCCCTGCTCGTGTCGCCGCCTGTCTCAGGAGACTCTCCTGTGGCACCACCGTCTTGGCCACCCCTCCTTGCCTCGTCTTCGGGGCATGGCTTCCCGTGTCCTTGTCTCTGGTCTTCCCCGGTCTCTCCCTCCCCTTCCCTCGGGACCCGGACCTTCCTGTGTCCCCTGTGTCGAGGGGCGGCTCCGGGCTGCCCCTCACTCCTCCCAGTTTCCCCCGACAGAGGCTCCTCTGCAGACGCTTCACATGGACGTGTGGGGCCCGGCCCGCGTCCGTGGGCAGGGTCACGAGCGCTACTTCCTGCTGGTGGTTGACGACTACTCGCGTTACACCACAGTCTTCCCCTTGCGCAGCAAGGGTGATGTTACTGAGGTGTTGATCGACTGGATCCGCGCAGCTCGTCTCCAGCTCAGGAGGAGCTTCGGCTCGGACTTTCCTGTTCTGCGTCTGCACTCTGACCGAGGTGGAGAGTTCTCCTCTGGCCTTCTGCGAGCCTACTGTCGTGCACGAGGCATCCGCCAGACCTTTACGCTTCCGGACTCTCCACAGCAAAATGGGATTGCTGAGCGCCGCATTGGCATGGTCATGGACGTCGCTCGTACGTCCATGATGCATGCGGCTGCCCCCCATTTTCTGTGGCCGTTTGCGGTTCGGTACGCGGCGCATCAGATCAACCTTCACCCCAGGGTCTCCCGGCCGGAGACCTCCCCAGCTCTGCTGTGGACGGGGAAGGTCGGCGATGCGTCTGCGTTCCGTGTCTGGGGATCTCGGGCGTTTGTCCGCGACTTGTCTGCGGACAAGCTGTCCCCTCGTGCTGCTCCCTGTGTCTTCCTCGGCTTCCCCCCTGACGCCCCAGGGTGGCAGTTCTACCACCCCTCCTCTCGTCGTGTTCTGTCCTCCCAGGACGTCACGTTCGACGAGTCAGTCCCCTTCTACCGCCTCTTCCCCTACCGCACTCCTTCCCTCCCCCCGCCACCGCACTTCCTTGTGCCAGGTCCCCCCCCGGTAGACCCCCTTCCCCCTCAGGGTCCTGCCCCTTCAGGTGTGTCCCAGGTAGACGCAGTCGAGCCGGTCGAGGTTGCTGGTGACTCTGGTCCTGCTGCGGGTGCTGAGCCTGGGGGTGCTGACTCTGGGGGTGCTACGCGCGTGGGTGCTGAGCCTGGGGGTGCTGAGCCTGGGGGTGCTGAGTCTGGGGGTACTGAGCCTGGGGGTACTGCGACTGGGGGTGCTGAGCTTGGGGGTGCGGAGTCTGGGGGTGCTGAGCCTGGGGGTGCTGCGACTGGGGGTGCTGAGCCTGGGGGTGCGGAGTCTGGGGGTGCTGAGCCTGGGGGTGCTGCGACTGGGGGTGCTGAGCCAGGGGGTGCTGCGTCTGGAGCTGTTGAGCCTGGAGCTGCGGAGCCTGTGGCCACTGGACCTCCCCTTGTGGCGTCTGGCGGTGCGGGACCTGGCGGTTCTCCGGGTGCTTCGCCTCGGCGGGAGCCCCTCTCTCCACAGGAGCTGCGCGAGTGGTTTGCTCGCCGCTGGAGACGTACTGCTGGAGCCGGAGCCCCTTCGACTGCTGAGGGTACTTGTGCCGCTGGTCCCGGAGCTGCTGGGCCTTCGGGTCCGCCTGGAGCTGGAGCTGCTGCGGGTGTTGGTGCTGCTGGTGCTGCTGGAGGTCCTGCCCCTGGAGGTGCTGCTGGCGCTGGTGCTGCTGCTGAGGGTGCTGTCCCTGCTGTGTCTGGAGTCGCCGCGCGGCCTCGGCCGTACTTCGTTCCACTCCTACAGCAGGTTCTTGGTCTTTCTCCTCCTGCAGCGTGTCCACCGCCTGTTCAGTCACAGTCCCAGTTAGAGCCCGCCTCCCCACTTCCTGCTCCCTCTCCTTACACTGGTCCCACTGGAGGTCTTGCTGAGCGTCGTGAGCCTGCGTCTCGTCCTGCGTCGCCTGTTCGTGCTGCTCGCGCTAGTGGTCGCGGTTCGCGTCAGCGTCCTCCTCCTGTCCCTGGCACGCACCGGATGTCTTTGCGTCCGTCCACTGCTCCTCTGCGTGCCCCTTTGCCTTCTCCTCCTGAGTCCTCTCTTCCTGCACTTACCGACCCAGAGTCCGACTCTCTTCGTGCTACCAGTCCTACTGTCACACGTCTCCTTGCTACTGTCGTCACTGACCCCTCTTTTGAGTCCACTGCTGCGTCTGCTCTTGTTGCTGAGCTCGTCGACTTTGCTGCTCGCTGTCGTCTAGACTACGCTGCCGGTCTTGTTGCTGAGTGTGCGTCTGTCTGTCCTCCGTCCGTCGGGGGTGAGTGTGCTCTTGGCACGGACGTCCTTGAGGACAGGCAGGAGGAGTTCCAGTGTCTGGCTGCTGCTTCACCTCATCTCGCGTCCGTACTACTTGCCCCTGAGGGAGACCCGGATGCACTAGACATCCCGACTCCGCGCTCTTACGCGGAGGCCGTAGAGGGTCCCTACTCCTCTCAGTGGCAGGCAGCTATGGATGCAGAGATGGCGTCCTGGAAGTCCACAGGCACCTACGTTGACGCGGTTCCCCCTCCTGGGGCGAACATCGTCAGTGGCATGTGGATCTTCAGAGTGAAGCGGCCGCCGGGCTCTCCACCTGTCTTCAAGGCGCGGTACGTCGCTCGTGGCTTCAGTCAGCGGCAGGGAGTTGACTACTTTCAGACCTTCTCTCCCACCCCGAAGATGACCACTCTTCGGGTGCTGCTGCACATAGCCGCTCAGCGCGACTACGAGCTCCACTCTCTTGACTTCAGCACTGCTTTCTTGCAGGGTAGCCTGCACGAGGAGATCTGGCTGCGCCGTCCACCTGGCTTCACTGGGACTTTCCCTCCTGGCACCCAGTGGAGCCTCCGACGGCCAGTCTACGGTCTCCGCCAGGCACCGCGTGAGTGGCACGACACACTGAGGACTACGCTTGCGGCTCTTGGGTTTGCTCCCTCTACTGCTGACCCGTCGTTGTTTCTGCGCACCGACACTTCTTTGCCGCCGTTCTACATCCTCGTGTACGTCGACGACTTGGTCTTTGCCACAGCTGACACTGCTGGACTAGCCTACGTGAAGTCCGAGCTGCAGAAGAGACACACGTGCACAGACCTGGGTGAACTGCGCAGCTACCTTGGCTTGCAGATCACTCGGGACAGAGCACGCCGCACCATTACCTTGACTCAGTCACACATGGTGCAGCAGGTCCTTCAGCGCTTCGGCTTCACGTACTCCTCGCCTCAGGCCACTCCTCTGTCTACTCGCCACTCGCTCTCAGCTCTGCCTTCGGATGAGTCCGTAGAGTCGAGTGGCCCGTACCCAGAGCTTGTTGGTTGCCTCATGTACCTGATGACCTGCACACGACCTGACCTTGCATACCCTCTTAGCATTCTTGCACGCTATGTTGCTCCTGGGAGACACCGACCAGAGCACATGGCTGCAGCGAAGAGGGTGTTGCGCTACTTGTGCAGTACGTCGGGCATGGGGCTAGTGCTTGGAGGGCGGAGTCCAGTGGTGCTCACTGGGCACGCGGACGCTTCTTGGGCTGACGACCAGGCTACGCAGCGGTCGTCGCAGGGTTACACCTTCAGTCTTGGTTCCGGCTCTGTCTCGTGGCGGGCTACTCGCTCGTCCTCTGTTCTCGGCTCCAGTTGTGAGGCTGAGATCTACGCCGGGGCCATGGCTGCACAGGAGCTTCGCTGGCTCACCTACCTGCTGACTGACCTTGGAGAGCCGCCTCGTTCTCCTCCAGTGCTGTACGTAGACAACAAGGCCATGCTGGCCTTGTGTCGAGAGCAGCGCTTGGAGCACAGAACGAAGCACATTGCTCTCCGTTACTTTCTTGCTCGTGAGCTGCAGCAGCGTGGTCAGTTGCGACTTGCGTACGTGGCCTCTGAGGCCAACACTGCTGATGTGTTCACCAAGGCACTTCCGCCTTGTGACCATCAGCGCTTCTGCACTCAGCTGGGTCTTGTACCTGTCTTGCCTCACTTGCTCTCCTCTTGACCTTGCTTGTACTGTCACATATATATACCTGCTCTTGCTTGTCTAGCTCTATATATATATGTGCACTCCTGCATGTGAACTGGCCTTGTGGCCTTGTCGTTGTGCTCGGACTGTGTGGTGACTTTGTGATCCACCCTGAGCTTGCTGTTCTTTGCGTGACTGGTCTTGTGACCCCTTGTTCTCCCCCACTTTGCCTATGGGGGTGTGTCAGAACATATATATATAGCTTATGCTGTTGTGTAGGCTATAGTGGGGTATCCCATAGGGGGTACAACACAATTAGGGTTTCCTATATGTACTCACTTCATTCATAGTTCATTCATCCTCGTTCTCATTTTCTCATCTCTCTCTCTCTCTAATGGCCCGTGTATTAGCTGAAGGGTGGTACAAAGGTTTGAAGCAGACACATGCAAACTAGGCAAACAAGCAGACCTATCAACCATCACCTACTCCCCTCCCCTCCCCCCGCTGTCCGACCCTAGTGGTCGGACGGGGGCTCGATCTCTCTCTCTCTCTCTCTCTCTCTCTCTCTCTCTCTCTCTCTCTCTCTCTCTCTCTCTCTCTCTCTCTCTCTCTCTCTCTCTCTCTCTCTTCTTTCTTTCGCAAAACTTGCTCATTGTGTCAATCCAATTTTTTTATCCCGACGTGCTCGTGGCGTGGGTAGCGGAAAAAGAGGGCCGCGCGTATGCAACGGACTGCTTCACCTTCAACACCAGCACCGAACCCACACTAGACGACAAGCAGGACTGGCACGTGCTGGGCGGCAGTCAAACCACGAACTTGTTAACGGGAGTGGAGTGTTGGCCCCGCCCTCGCTTGGGCAACGCCGACGACTTGGTCGGGGGTACGGGAGTAGCAGCCGACCATTCACAGTGGGAGAGCTGCTCGACAGGCTTCGTCGAGCTGCCGGGGACCGCCGTGGTGTTGCTGTCGACCAGGCAGCTCGACAGCTGCAACTGACTGGTCTGGGCGACGGGTGGGCCGTCGACCAGGAGGGGCAGTTCGACCGGGAGGTCGACGGAGCAGTCCGTCGACCTGCAGCTCGACCAGGAGGTCTCCGTCGGCCTGCAGCTCGACCGGGAGGTCTCCGTCAACCTCCAGCTCGACCGGGAGGTCTCCATCGACCTACAGCTCGACCGGGAGGTCTCCGTTGACCTGCATTTCGACTGGGAGGTCGATGGAGCAGTCCGTCGACCTGACAAGTGAGCAGCGGTCGACGAGGGGAGATCGGCGACAACCGCTGACTATTATGGTCGACGGAAGGGGTCCGTCGACCAGGGGGGTAGCTCGACAGGAGCTGTGGTCGACCAGGGGCACCTGGTGGTCGACCAGAGGGACCTGGTGGTCGACCGGAGGCACCTGGGGGTCGACCAGAGCACATGGGGGTCGACCAGGTCGACCGGGTAACCTGCTCGACGAGTTCTACGGAGGCACGCGAACGTCGTGAAGGTCGCAATGGCGCAGGCGACTTCGGGCTGATATCCCGATGTCGATGTGGCTCGTCAGGCGCAAACAACAGCCGACGGATGCCCAACGAGGCAAATCGGGCCAATCGTCTGCGCGCACCTGCGAGTGTGCGCACTGCTATGTTCTACGGGGCAACGCTGGACAGCCACTCTGTTGCAGCGTTGGTACGCCATCGACCTGCTCTGTTGGCAGGTCGCCCTTCTGCAGTGCTGGCGCGGCTCCTCTACGCAACGCTGGTAGGCGGTCGACCGAGCTGTGCTGGCGGTCGACCAGGCTAGCTGCAGGGTTGCTAGGTGCCTGATGTAGTCATTCTGTCATTGCTTGTTCAGTCATCCTGTAATTTCGACTTTGCCTAGTGGAAACTCTTGCCAATTTCTCCCGTATATGCATAAGCACTAACGAACTAAGCAAAGCTATGATCACTCCTAGTAGTTCGTGCCAACCCCGTAATCTAGCTCTTTACCGTTGTAGAGTGACTCTCCGCAGAACCAATCCACGGGCGACACTTGGACCACCGTAAATGTGTGGCGCAACCTTGACACATGCAACTGCAACGACCGCCCAATAGTTTTCGGGAAGCTTCACAACGTTATCTGGGCGACAGGCCCCACGGATGTCGTCAGTTATCATGGCTCCACGCAGGGGGGTACCACTCTCGTTCTTGCTCCTACCTCCGGCCCCTCAATTTTCAAACCCTCAGAACCGCCCTCAACCGCTTCTGCGGCTGCTGTGTATAGATCGATTCGAGGGTCCGGGCGTTTGGCCGTAAAGAAGCAAGCAGTGGGGGAGGAGGAGGCTAAGGCGCGCGTTCTTACATTCACTGTGAAGGATTATCCCGTGCCCACTGACAGCTCCTCCTACCGCTGCATGGTACGGTACACGTTTTTGAGAATGCTCGAAGGCGATCCCTCTATAGTGGAGCAAGCGTGCATATTTTCACTTTCACGGTCTATCCCGTGCCCACTGACAGCTCCTCCTATTGCTGCATAGTACAGCACGACCGGGAAACATTCATGCTGCTGTGCTAGTGTTTGTAGCTGCTGCGCGTGTGTATGTCTGAGAAACCTTCGACATACTGGTCGCATTGATCACTACTGGTGACTGCGGTGGCGGCTCCTCTGAAGCACGTTGATGCACTCCAGACAGGGCTAACTTTAGTAAAATGACCCGTCTGATGTCAAGACCGGGTCCTGGCTCCTTGTCTGATTGTAAGACGAAAGCTGTAACATTGTCTAGCTTTTCAGACGAATCCTAAATACTTGTCTGAGACTTCTGAGAACATATACTAGCAATAAATATACTGTATACATATACTAGATAAATAATAGGGAAGTAAGGTACCAGATCTAGTGGTCCAACCAGTAGAAAGTGAGTTGAGAAGATTGAGCTTGCTGGTTCGATTTTTGCCTCCTGCCTCTGCCAGGCAGGTGCATACATCCTTCGAGAGTTTTGCCTTCAGACGAAAAAGACCCGATATCTGCAGTCTCAGACGAACTGTATAAGGCTGTCTGAGAAATCAGATGAATAGAAAAGGCTTCTCTTAAAGCTTTCGTATACATTTGAAAAAGGGAGGTTCAAAAGTTTTGAAATTTGAAATATTGGTAACCCAGAAACAGCTAGTTTCACTCGCTTCACAAGGGAGGTGATCTCCCCGTCACCCAGGGCTCACTGGTGATTCAAAACTTTTGGAATAACAAAAGTATACGAAATCCAGTCCATGTGAGATCTACGCCACTACGCTCAACAGGCAGCATAAATCGTAGCAAAGCACATCGCGACAACAGCCAGCGCAAATCACTCCCGTTTCCGACACAAACTTAGACGCGTGGGGCAGTTTAGTGTAATTACACGTCCGAGCCAACGTCAGTTCCGCCCTCTAACACGGCGAGCCCGCCGGACCCCTTCTCACAGCCTCGCCTCGTCGTCCGTCGCGTTGCCTCACCACGCGGCCTCCTCACGCCACCATGAACGCGCACGCTGCGTCTCAAACTGCCGAACACGCACGATCACAGTCGCTTCCCGATCGCGCGACCTCGCTACCACGTTTCCGCAGTAGCGGCGGCAGCCGCAATTGAGGTGTCGCGAGGGTAATCAGAAACGATTGCTCCCCATTACCTCTTCCCGCCTCCCCGTTTCCCCTTCCCGCCTCCCCAATTCCCCTTCCCGACACCCCATTTCCTCTTCCCGCTCCCCACTACCCCTTCGCGCCTCCTCGTTTCCCCTTCCCGCTCCCCATTACCCCTTCCTGCCTCTGCAATTCCCCTTCCCGCCACCCCATTTCCTCTTCTCGCTCCCCATTATCCCTTCCCGCCTCCTCGTTTCCCCTTCCCGCTCCCCATTACCCTTTCCCGCCTCCCCAATTCCCCTTCCCGCTCCCCATTACCCCTTCCCGCCTCCCCAATTCCCCTTCCCGCTCCCCATTACCCCTTCTCGCCTCCCCAATTCCCCTTCCCGCTCCCCACTACCCCTTCCCTCCTCCCCGTGACCCCTTCCCGCTTCCCCATTACCCCTTCCCACTCCCCATTTCCCCTTCCCGCCTCCCCAATTCCCCTTCCCGCCTCCCCGCTTCCCCTTCCCACTCCCGATTATCCCTTCTCGCCTCCCTTCTCAAACTGCCGAACACACATCACAGTCGCCGCCCGATCGCACAGCCTCGCTACCACGTTTCCGCACTAGCCGCGGCAGCCGCACTCTCATTTCCCCCCTTGCAGACTCTCATTTTCCCCCTTGCTCACTCTCATTTCCCCCCCATGCTCTCCCTCATTCCTCCCCCCTTCTCCCTCTCATTCCCCCCATGAAGCCCCTCATCCCCCCCTTTCTCCCTCTCATCTCCCCCCCTGCTCCCTGTCATGTCCCCACCTTCTCTCTCTCATGTCACCCCCTTCTCCCGCTCATTCCCCCCCATTCTCCCTCTCATTTCTTCCCCTTCCCCCTCTTATATCTCCCCCTACTCCCTCTCATTCCCCCCATGAAGCCCCTCATTCCCCCCCTTTCTCCCTCTCATCCTCCCCCCTGCTCACTGTTATGTCCCCCCTTCTCTCGCTCATGTACCCCCCTTCTTCCTCTCATTCCCCCCCCTTATCCCTCTCATTCTCCCCCCTGCTCCTTCTCATTCCCCCCTTAACCACTCAGTTAAATGCCACATAACCTCCCTCTCATTTCCCCGCATTCCCCCCCCCTTCCCCCTCTCGTTTCCCCCCATCTCCCTCTCCTTTCCCCACGTGCTCCTTCTCATTCCCCCCCCCTTCTCCATCTCGTTTCCCCCCCGCTCATTTCCCCCCATCTCCTTTCATTTTCCCCCCTTCTCCCTCTCATATGCTTCTAACCCCTACCGTACCCTTGGATGATCGCATGCCATACTCATCCATCCGCTGCCATACACCGCCACACCCTTCCATCTCCTCCCATACCCTTCCATACGCCAGCCAAGCCCGTCCCTCATTCTGCCATACCTTGCCATACTCTGCCATACCTTTCCTTCCCTAGCGTAAGTGTACCATTCCCTTCCATACCCCAGCCATACCCATCCATCCCCTGTCATACCCTTCCATTCCCTTCCATACCCTTCCATACCTTCCATTCCCTTCCATACCCTTCCATTCCCTTCCATACCCTTCCATTCCCTTCCATACCCTTCCATTCCCTTCCATACCCTTCCATACCTACCATTCCCTTCCATACCCCAGCCATACCCTTCCATACCCTTCCATTCCCTTCCATACACTTCCATTCCCTTCCATACACTTCCATTCCCTGCCATTCCCTTCCATTCCCTGCATTCGTGCACAGGCATATGACTAGTCACGTGATTGGTATCGAAGAATCCAGGGTTGGGTGATAAAGGTTATGTATATAGTGATACAATTGTAAGGACTTTTTTTATAAAACATGTTGTGAGGCTACGAGCTTGATTTTGGTCCTGAAGTGCCAAAAATGTACTAGAGTTGGGAGTGTATGCATGCTTCTTGAATCACAAGTGCATAGTAATAAATACGCAGGGAGCTGCCGCACAAGTTGGCGGCTGCTGTTGTATGCCTGGCGTTGGTGTGCAGCAGAGGGGAGCGATGCATTGTGTGCTGCTTGGTGGACCTGCCGGTGAGAGGAGTGGGGGGGGTCAGGGCTGAGAAAGGGACGAGGAAGGGGAAAAAGAAGGCACATATCAGGGTGAGCTCAACCAAAGCCTGGAGAGAGTGCCCTTAGTCATCCAAGTGGCGTGAAAACGGTTGTCTAGGCAAGTCCCAAGGCATGCGATGGGACGCGCACAGTACCTGAGAGGCGTGAACGATGGGACAAAACTTGAGATGAGTCGAGCTCGCTTGCACGCACCATCTGCCGCAACAGCCTCGCTACCTCCTCCTCCTCCCTCTCCCTCCGCCTCGCTTCCTCATCGAGCCTCACACCCTGCTCGCTCCCCAGTCCACTGCTGACATGGCTGCTTCGATAGTGTGCACCCAGCGTGAGAGACCCGGCATGCTGCATCTCCTGCGGCTTGCGCACTCATGAGCGCGCTCGGCTGTGAGACCGCAGCAGGGCTCACTCGCTCTTGGTTCTGCTGTTGCTGCCCATGCACCTGCCGCTGTTCTTGCAAGATCATCCCAGCTCCAACTCCTCGTGGGAGCTGCTGCTACATTTGCTCCACAAATGCTAGGTCCAGTAGGAGCTCAATCCGCAGGAGCAGAAGTATGGTCAGAACCGGGGCAGTTGCAGAGTCACACGGGTTGGGGCCAACAGCCGGCGTCGGCAGTCCATAGTCAAAGGAGTGGGGCGAACAATCCTCCCCACTGGCTGCTCCTCGCCTCATGTCTCCTCCTCCTCCACCATGCCTTCCCCTCCTTTCCTGAGCTACCTCCTGCTCCGGGGGGAACACCAAAGGAAGGAACACTGGGTGTGGCAGCAGAGGCAGCTCCGGCAAAGGCAGCAGCGGCGGCAGTATGGGCAGGGACTGAAGGAGCGAGTGGGATCTCATGGGAGGTGAGATGACCCTGGAAGGAGGGGGGATGAGAAATTAAGGCATGGCGATGGGAGAGCGTGGAAGGGAGAATGGAAGGGAGCGAGTGGGGGGCAGTATTTTGCAAGGGATCCACCCTGTAAGGGAGGGAAGATGAAAAGGACGGGAGGGCAGTGGGGCTATGTCAGAGCTGGGAGGGAAATGAAGGGGAGCAAGGTGGGAAAAATAAGGGGAGAAGGGGGGGAAATGACGGGGAGCAAGGTGGGGAAAATAAGGGTTTAGGTTGGGAAATGAAGGGGTGAAGGAGGGAAATGAGAGGGAAGCGGGGAAGCGAGAGTGAGCAAGGGTGGAAGTGAGAGGCGGCAAGGGGGGAAATGAGAGGGAGGAGGGGGAGAGATGAGAGGCGGCAAGGGGGGAAATGAGAGGGAGGAGGGGGAGAGATGAGAGGCGGCAAAGGAGGGGAAATGAGAGGGAGGAGGGGGAGAGATGAGAGGAGCAAGGGGGGAAATGAGAGGGAGGAGGGGGAGAGATGAGAGGAGCAAGGGGGGAAATGAGAGGGAGGAGGGGGAGAGATGAGAGGAGCAAGGGGGGAAATGAGAGGGAGGAGGGGGAGAGATGAGAGGAGCAAGGGGGGAAATGAGAGGGAGGAGGGGGAGAGATGAGAGGCGGCAAGGGGGGAAATGAGAGGGAGGAGGGGGAGAGATGAGAGGAGCAAGGGGGGAAATGAGAGGGAGAGGGGGAGAGATGAGAGGAGCAAGGGGGGAAATGAGAGGGAGGAGGGGGAGAGATGAGAGGAGCAAGGGGGGAAATGAGAGGGAGGAGGGGGAGAGATGAGAGGAGCAGGAGGGGAAATGAGGGGGAGCAGTGGGGGAAGTGAGAAGGAGAAGGAGGGGAAATGAAGGGGAGCAGTGGGGGAAGTGAGAAGGAGCAGGAGGGGAAATGAGGGGGAGCAGTGGGGGAAGTGAGAAGGAGCAGGAGGGGAAATGAGGGGGAGCAGTGGGGGAAGTGAGAGGGAGAAGGGGGGGAAATGAAGGGGAGCAGTGGGGGAAGTGAGAAGGAGCAGGAGGGGAAATGAGGGGGAGCAGTGGGGGAAGTGAGAAGGAGCAGGAGGGGAAATGAGGGGGAGCAGTGGGGGAAGTGAGAGGGAGAAGGGGGGGAAATGAGGGCGAGAAGGGGGGGGGGGTTGAGGGAGAAAAGGGGGGGAATGAGGGGGAAGAATGGGGGGAATGAGGAGGAGAAGGCTGGGAAATGAGGGGAAGAATGGGGGGAATGAGGGGGAGAAGGGTTAGAACTGAGAGGGAGAAGGGGGGAAAATGAGGGAGAGAAGGGGGGAAAATGAGGGAGAGAAGGGGGGAAAAATAGGGGGAGAAGGGGGGGAAATGAGGGGGAGAAGGGAGGCAAGTGGAGAGGGAGTAGGGGGGGTTGTGAGGGGGAGAAGGGGGGAGGGGGGGTAATTAGAAGAGGATGCGCTTAGCGGGAGAGGCGCTATGCGGGCGCTAAGCGGGAAAGGCGCGCAGCGGGTGCGGCGCTAAGCGGGAGAGGGTGAGGCGACACGCGGGAAAGGCGCACAGGGGGTGAGGCGCGAAATGAGAGAGGCGCGCAGCGAGTGATTCGTTGCGCGGGAGAGGCGCGCAGCGGTTGCGGAGCTAAGCGGGAGAGGCGCGCAGCGGGTCAGGCGCTAAGCGGGAAAGGCGCGCGGCGAGTGATACGCTAAGCGGCATGGCGCGCAGAGGGTGAGGCGCTAAGCGGGAGAGCTCCCAGCATTGGAGGCGGTAAGCGGGAGACCCGCGCAGTGGGTGAGGCGCTAAGCGGGAAATGCCTACCGAGCGGGTGTTGAGAGTGGCGGCGTGGCCAACGCATGGAACGATGCGATCCCGCCGTCGGCTCCGTAATTTTCAATCGGCTTACTCGATCGCACCTACCCAGCGTGGTGATGCAACCCGTCGAGGCGCCCTTGACAGGGCTTCGACGGGGCCCATCAATGCAGCACGACGCGCTCGACGAATGCAGAGCCTTTCCCTCTCCGATTGCCGCTGAACGGCGCAGCAGTGGAAAGGAGCTGGCGTGCAAGCTAGATGTATTTTCCCACTCGCACAAGCCTATAATGTTACCTAAACTCATCTCACATGAGAATATCTGAGCGGTGTCGATGCTCCGCATGTTCTTTGTCGCGCCCCGGTTCCTCTATCTATGCTTAGCGTATGTTAGTCACATATCATGGTTCCTAGTGAAATCTGACTCCAAGGTTGGGTGACGGGGTAGTTTCCTGTGTTTGGAACTCCTCAAAGCTGCAATTTTTCGCCAAACCTCTCGCCACGCTCAGTTGTTTCGTTCTGGCGAATTTTTCCCTGGCTACAGTGCAAGTCCAAACAGTACTTGCAAATGTATACGAAAGCTTTAAAAATCAGACGAAATTAAACAGCATGTCTACGACATCAGATGAACCAGTAAAAATGTGTTCCGAATCCAGAAATTCAGACCAAAAATGTCTGATAAAGTAAGCCCTGACTCCAGAACCTGATATTCTTTTGACACTCACACTTAACTGAGGTTCTGTCTGAGAGCGTCATTCATGCTCATTAGGGGATTCCTTGGCGTTTGCTTCTGTGTTCTCTTGGCTTTTGGAGATGCATGGAAAAAGGTAGGGGGGAGGGGGAGCGAGGGAGGGCGGGGGGGTGGGTTGGGGGGGGGGGTGGTGGTGGGTTTGGGAAGGGGTGTTGAGGTTACGTTCAGCAGTCCTGAGAGTGGTTAAATAATGGTCGTACCTGTTGACCTGAACAGCTAGGCTCATCTCTCCATTCCACCTTCAGAATCAATCACTTGCTGCTATGGTGCATGTTTCTAATGTATAAATAGACTCTTCAACCTCTAGTGCATCTCTCCTCTGTTTCTCCCTCCACTGTGGTCACCTTACCTAAACCACAGCAACCCGCCATTGTTCCTTTCCCCTTAAAAACACCACCCCAGCTTCCCCAACCTTGCTGTCCCCCTGAATGTCTATCTCCACACCACAGACTAGTTACATTTAGGAGAACATGGTGTGGAAGTGTTTTCACCTTCGGCTCTGTGTTATGAAATCAGTGCATTTTGAATTTTCATCTCCCTGCTAGCATGGCAGACCTGCCAGACAGGGGAACAATCCCCTCTCACATAGCCAGTCTAGGCATCCAGTGTTACTGAAACGAGAGTGATAAAGTTGTCATAATTTATAGGAATACATTTTGTGCAGATATCTCTACCGTATTTGACAGAGCAACCAATTCAACACATAACTTCTAGGAGTTTAGGCGGGGCCAACGACCAGGAAACGGTCCCCAAGGTCTTGACGAGGCCTCTGCAATCGGTGCATGTGGGGAGGAGGGGAGATACAGCCGTTATGAGTGAGCAGCAGCAGCAGCAAGTGAAAGATCCTACTTTTGAGAAGACTCAAAATGATTTTGGAGTCGACTCAAAACTCTGCAATCGGTGCATGTGGGGAGGAGCGAGGGGAGATACAGCCGTTGTGTGTGAGCAGCAGCAGCAAGTGAAAGAGGGGGGAAAGGAACGGGGAGATGGGAGAGAGGGACAGCAGGAGGAGCTGTAGCAACAGCAGCAGCAGGTGGTTATAATAAGCCTAATGCCTCTCTGTGCTAACAGCCTTTAGTAAGTCTTTAAGGTCTCACAACACTCACCGAGTTAAGGGCAAGAGTCTGGCGGTCACCGACATAGCGCATGAACTCAACCACTTGGGAATCAGGGATGCGCATGGGGGATGCTGCAGAGGAAAGGGCGGGGAAGAGACGATAGAGAGACTACTGAGTCGACGGAACAGTGTCAGGATAGTGGAGAGGAGAGAGAGGACTAAACCAAAGTATTGAGCAGACTAGCTAGCATCAGGGATGCACGTGGGGGATGTTGGGGACAGGGAAAGAAGGGAGGACGGAGAGGATGTGTGGGGAAACTGGAAGGAACACTCAAGCATTTGCACACCTGGGTTTTGTTTGAGAGGGGATTGTGAGGGAATGGTGGAGTGGGGATGGTGGAGAGGGGATGGTAGAGAATGGGGAACTGGAGGACAAGAGAAGAGGGCACAAGGACGAGAGACAAGGAGGACACAGGGAGGGGATAAGAGGAGGAAGGCAGGCGTTAACTGAAATTATTGAGAGCATATGCCTAGAGCAACGCCAGTCAATGCCAGTCAATGGCAGTCAATGGCAGTCAATGGCAGTCAATGGCAGTCAATGTCAGTCAATGGCAGTCAAGTGACTTACAGAGGACAAACCAGTCAACGCCCTCGGAGCACGGGGGGGTGGTGAGGGAGCCCTTGTAGTGAATGTAGTTGTGCGCACCGTCCTGCACGCCATGATTCAAGCAAGGTGATGATGGGTGATGATGGGTGGCGATGGGTGATGATGGGTGATGATGGGTGGCGATGGGTGATGATGGGTGATGATGGGTGATGATGGGTGATGATGGGTGATTATGACGACGGTGGCACAGCGAGGGAGGTGAAAGGTAAGACGTAGCTGGTGAAGTCAAGCTGCAAATGACGAAATGGCAGAAGGCGCGGAGCCATAAAGCATGCCAGCCAGTTTGAGATTATCATAGTAACGAGACTCGCCATAGGCAAAGCGTGAACTCAGAGAGAGGCGCTGGTAGTTGCAGCAGACAGGACTGTATTATCAGGCTCGGCAGAGGCTTAGAAACGCACCGCTCTGTCAGGCTTGGGGAGGAGAGGCTCGGGGCTGATCTGGATCTTGAGGCATTGCTTCAAGGGCTTGCCCCCACCCACTGCTGGCACCTCGAAACACTCCACTGGACCCGCACTGGTGAGGGAGGGAAGAGGGGGAGGAACATGGGAAGATGGAAAGGTAAGAGGTGGGCTTTTGACGGGCACTGCCCGTTTCTAGGGCCTGGCACCTCTCTCTGCACTGCAGGCGCATCCGCGGGGTGAAAGAGGACGCGTGCGAATAGAGTGCAGTTCGTGAATTCGAGGGTAAGCGTCGAGTGAGGTGGGTGATTTCCCTTTCCGCTGTAAACTCATTCGCGTCCTCGCCAATTCACTCCAATTTTCACTCTCACTCAAAGCCGCAGTGTAGCTGAATCCAAACAGCTCGCAGTGCCGCACTCACATCTGCTTAAACTTCTCGTTGGGCGAGAAGGCGAGAGCCGCCTCGAGGCAGAGGTTCCGCGGAGCCTTGGGGTCCGCCTCCAGCATGACCCTGCGCGGAGGGCGGAATTGCGGAGGGGGGATTGCGCGGGGAGGGAGAGGGGGGTGGGGAGAGAGGGGAAGAAGGGGAAAAATTGAGGAGGGAGGGTAATGATGGCACTGAGGGCGGAAGCGGAGAGGAGAGAAGCACTACTGCCATTTGGAATGTGTGCAAGCAGAGGAAATGTAGACAGATGGAGAGGGTTTGATTTCGAGCTAGAGTATGCGGAGAAAAATCATTGTTGCTACGCTAGAATTAGGGCGTAAGGTGCTTACCCTACGACTGCGAGCTTGCCCTCAGCATCGCCTGGAAGAGATGGGCAGATGGGAAACAGCGAGGGAAGCGAAACAAGGGAAGAAGGGAGACGAGTGAGTGAGAAGCAGCACGAGCCAGTTTCGAGAGTCGCTCGCAGCAAGCATGGCTGAACCCCTCTGATGGTGCAGCAGCGTTACATAGTAGAGGAGCGGCATGTTGTTCAATAACGTACGGTGGACAGGACATGACATGAGATGACATGATACGGCGGGCGTACGTACGGTGGACGAGATGAACCTCCATGGCGGTACGGATGCCGTTGAACGAGTGCTCGCTGGGCGCGTGGAAGTGGTACTGCAGCAGCTCCAGCTTGCGCCCGCCGATCTCGCACGTGTTGCTGCCGCCCGGGAAATTCACCTGCGACGCGAAGGTAAGAGAACAAGCGTTAAATAAACGCTAAAAAAAAATTCGCGAAAATTATTTCAGCTTAGAAATGGGAAAGTTGAGTGAAGGGAGGCGATGTTATGATGTTACGGAGGCGGAGGACAAGCGAAACGAAATTGGAAGGGGAAGTGTAAAATAGTAGCCACGAGGCCGCTATTCAACACTGCAACCCAAGCTGAATGCCGTAGCGCGCCATCTCAGCGCTCATCTCTCCTATGCAGACTCTGCGCGATCAATATCATGTATTTCCCAGCTGTCTCACCTGCATGGTGCCGTGGCCAGTGTTGAGGAACGTGGCATCGGCGCGCTTGTACCCGAAGGCGAGCTTGCCAATGCTATTATCCGACACGATCTTAGGCGCCGTGAAGGAGATGTCAATCGGCGACTGCGCAGCGCCAGTCTTGCACACCGCACCCCACTCGTTGGGTCCTGACAACTCTCCGTAGCTCCAATCAGCAGCGAGCGCGGCACCCATGGATGGCGATCCCGAGTCGCAGATTGGGCAGCCGACCACGGCGGCCATGCCGGCGGCCATTCCGCCGAGAATCAATCGCCTGGACACGGCGCGCTTCGTGTGGGTGTGGGATGTCGCGTTGTTTCCATCTGAGCCCTCAGCCTTAGCAGCGCACCGAGTGGACAGAGAGTTACGGGAGGCGGAGGATGCGGAGACGGGGAACGCGAGGGTGCTGGCAGGTTGACCAAGGAACTGGCTGGCTTCCAGAACGTTCTCGGTCTTCAGTGCACTTGGAAGTTTAGCAGCGACTCCAGCAGCCATGGCAGCCATTTTCGACGAAATGCTGGTCGAAAGAAAAAAGGTCGATATGGTGCAAGACTGCTGCGGAAGGAAACTAGCAGCTAATTGGGTGGACAGAGCTCACGTACAAATGATCTGGTCAATTTAGTTCTGTCCTGACAGCAGGCTAAGTAGTGAGTAGTCAGTCGCCTACCTAGTCGCTTGTGTGTAATGCAGCCTGCTTTTCCCATTCAGGTGGCTACTCGACACTGGTCTTCAATTCACGTACTGTAGTACGGTTTCGTTCGGTTTATTGAGTTCCAGAACTATGAGTTCAGATTACCGCTCCATACCGTATCCAATATTTCTAGAATGCACTGAAACGACCGTTGGTCAAAGGGGTAGACGCGCGTTGGAGTTCGTTTTCACGGCTTGATGAACTCGGATCGGTTCGAAAGCTGGCGATTGGACGGGAGCGATTGGTTGTGGTGAAGATGGAGCCTCGAAGTTGGTATTTCCCGATCAAGACGGACTTTTGAACAAAAGCTTGGGCTTCGGACTAATTCGTGGTGTACAAACTTCGAGAAGATCCCCCACGATGAAAATGATGCGAATAGCGAAGCGCTGGTTCCTCCAATAAAATGCACCTGCCTAAGTGGCGAATCCACGTGGATTTCGCCCTTGCGGATGGGAGGGCCAGCGACATACTCGCAGCTGACATGACGTGGCTGGAACTGCCTATCTCACGCTGACAATTTCTTCTGAATCAAGGATAAATTCAGACGAGGGGTTGTTCTCGTTTGTGGACTTCTCTGGCACGTTGCAGTAACAAAATTCAACTTTGAGTATGGAAATATAAACTCAGTTATAACAGTGGGAGTCTACGAGCACTATAGAGGGTACATCCGCGTGGCAATTCATGATTGTGTGGAAGATACTCTCCTGGTTCTGCAGGCGTTCCACCAGTAAACGCAGGGCACTGGGAGTTGAACGCCATCCATCCAGCACTACTCTGACTTCAAGAGCAAGCATTGACCAATCTGGGAAACCTGACAAGGACTTTAGGGGGGGGACGACATGAGCTTGGCCCAAATGATGCTGCGGAAACCAGTTGTTGTGAGCCCCTAATATTCAGCTGGAGTACAATATTTATCTGTGCTGAGATAGTTCCGTGAAATTTAGCAACCTTGAAGTTGGTGACTAGTTTCCATCAAGCTTGCCTCGAGCTTGCCGACGGCGAAAATGGCTGCCGTTGCTTCACGATTCTCCTCCACTGCCGTTCTTGAGAGGGCCCAGTTGCGCGAGACTGAAAGGCGATCTGCTTCCGTAGCTGTTTGTACGTAACCTTCGACGACTCCTCGATTGCATTACGGATTGTAATTTCTTCCTAATCCATCATGCTGATGGCACATGCAGCGCTCTAGGCACGGCCACTATGCTTAGTGCCAGAAAGCTGCACAACTATGCTGATTTTGTTATTTGTTTCCCTCCCTCATCGCTCCAGCCTTCAATGGCCTCAGACGTGAGTCTACGACAGCACTACCATCCCGATCAAACCGCATCGCCCGCCGCCGTTCACGGTACTCAGTCGCACGTGCAGCAAAGAGCAGTGATTCCTCTGATCCGTCATCTGCTCCACTCGCCACAGTCACACAGTCCTCCTCTACTCCGGACCTGTCTTCCGCTACTGCCGCTTTGAACCGCCTTAAAACTAATATCGTTACATTCACACAGTCCACCTCCACTCCAGACGTGTCCTCCGCTTTAGCCGCTGCTCAGCCTTACGCTCCATCCGTCCTAGGCGCCGGAGCGCTCGGTGTTGCGTCTTATTTAATTGTCAGAAAGATCACATCCGGTCCTGCTAAAGCGGAAGCGGGCGCAGAAGCTAAAGCAGCTCCTCCCAGCGGCATCGTGCCACGTGCCAAGAAAGTATGTGCATGGAAAGCAGCCTTACTTCCCATTTACAGTTGTTTCTACATAACCTCTTTCAATACCTTCTCACGCTGTGGCTCAATACGTCGAAGTATTAAGCTCGCTTCCAATTCACGGAATTGAGTCACCATCCCATTACTGTTCCGTTGCAAATCTGCCTCCTTTCCCCCTTCAATTGCGTCATTGCGCTTCGTCATAATGCCCCGTTCGCCCTCCAGGCCGCAACAACTGCGCTAGCGGCGATGGCGGCGACTTTCCCGCGGGCCATGCAGGAGGAGGCTTTCATGAAGGCCGTGAGCCAAGAGCTCAGCAAGCTGGGCTTCAAAAGGTGAGCTCGAGCTTCGAGCGGTGCACTGCAACGTGGGGCACGTGGTAGACCGAGGGGTGATTGGAGGCCGGTGGGCTTAGTACTAAATCGGGTTTGCACAAACATCAGCATGGAATGGATCCAGGGGTGGGTAAAAGGGAGGAACGGCTCGGTGCTGAGGAGGGAGGGCAAATGAAAGCTTGAAAAGAAAGGAAATAACCGAACGGCAGTGGTTAAATTAGATTAGAGGGGAAATTGTTACCAGAAGAAAGGACTTCTACAAGCTGGACTGTGAAGAGCTCTATCATAGCCCAATACTGTCAAAAAGGAGGGCGTCACTGACATGGCTTAGCTGCGGACGGACCGTACCAGTACAATAGTTTGTCTGACAGTGGATGTTGCAATTTGGGCCTACTTTCCAGAGCAAACGTCCTTCCTTCCCACCCCCTTTCCGCTCCCGCCCTTCCCCTCGAACCCCCAATCACGTCTCTTCCCTCGCCATTCTCTTCCACTCACTCCGCCAGAGACAACTGCATTGCGCTGGTGTCGACATGCCGGGACGAGGTGTGCCGGCCGGTGGTGAGCCTGGTGGACCAGGAATTTGGGCTGTCATTCAACATCGCAGGGCTGGGCGGCGTGCTCAACTGCGGCTCCACGGGCTTTAAGGCTGCAATGTCGCACTCGCCAGAGTTTCGCTGCGAGACCGATGGGACTGTGAAGGAGAGATGTGAGCATGATGGGGCGTTTGTGATGGGTCCTTCATGCATTAAGGGGTCATTCATTGTGGGGCGAGCCGGCATGGGTGGGGGAGTCATGCGTGAGTGCTGTCGTGGATGGTGAACGGCCATGCATGATGGTTGGTCGTGAGTAGTGAACAGCTGTGCATGATGGTTGGTGACGATGAGGGTCAGTCATAGGCGTTTGCACCATTGTCTGCTGCATATGCTTGTCCTTGCAAGCATCAGCAGTTCGTTTCCCTGTGCTTATCTGCCTCTCATTTCTCCCACCAATCACCCTCCCTCTCCCTCAGACATCTTCTTTGCCTTCCCTCACGTGTCCATCGGAGAATCGGGAGAGGTGGGATCGCTGCTGCGGCGCGGCCGAGGCAAGCCCTCCAGTGCATGTGGTGCGCTGATTGCCATTCAGAACGACATCAACGCGGGCAAGGCAACGGTGTCGGACCCTTATGACGAGGAGTACGTGCTTCTTAAGAAGAAAGTCAAGTCACTGGTAGGTAACAGAAGACAACCTGAGAACGCAAGGTTGCTTCATGTTTGCATTCCATGTCTATAGCCCTCACTCATGATTGTTCCACTTCCATTAAAATCTGCACAATGATCAGGATTTTTTTTTTGCGGATGCCATTCTTCTCCCCAGATTCTACGGCGGGGAGGTTCGGAGTATTCATTGGTGGAGGTGACTCGTGCTGCACTGGCAGCCATCAATGATGACCTGGAAAAACTCATCTCCCTCACTGTCGACCCAGCCACTGCTGACTACGCTGTGATCACAGGCGTGCAGATTCACTCGGGCAACCAGGTGAGGCCGGAGTATTGTGGTCTTGACTCTTGAGTGAAGTGTATCGCTTTTGTTTCTGAACCCTTTTCTGGTTTGTTGCAGATTCCCGGAGAGCCATTCCGCATTGAGCGGACTTGTGATTATATTGCTCCTGACATGATGTACGCGGTTGTAAGAGGGCAACGGTATGACCTGCAGCTGGAAGCCAATAAGGAGGACTTGGCAGTCCACTCTAGTTAGAATTATAAGATTATACTACAGCTGAATACTAATATAGTTCATGTGGTGCGCGAGTAAACATCTTTACATCATGTTTGTGTTCATGGTTTGGTTTCTATGACATATTGTCTCCCTTGTCTTGGAGAACATAGTATCGGTGACGTTAGGAGTGTGGTGGATGTTCTGTACGCGACCTCCGCACCTCACACTTCAAAATTGCCGATTTACAACTTCCAATCTGCTAAATCTCCGCCCTCCGTAAGCGTGACTCACCGTCCACGTGGCGCCGATTTATACCTCAGGTTTTATCCCCCTCGGCTCCCACCCTCGATCGTCTCTCCACCAGTCACAAACTTTCCTGCCGTCAAGGCGAATCAGTCCACAAGATTCCTGGATCTACGTGCGCCAGCGGGAAGTTCCGCGCCACCGTCACTTTCCCCCTAAACTTCCGCGTCTGCTGGCAGCCTTCCCCTTTTCTCCCCCATCTTTCCCCGTTTCCCCCACTCCATTCCACGGCCACATGCCTTGAGTCAAATATGCTCAGTGCTCACTCTTCTAAAGCCAGCATTTCTAAATAGCTTCTGGGCTGGCTGGTCCGCCATGATCCTAACGATCGAGGCAGTGTAACCTACATTATTCCGTCTTGTGATTTCGAAAAATAGTTAGGAGATCAGGACCGCAAGCCATCCCGCGATAGCGCTTTTTAACTCGAAAAGCCTGCAGAGGCTTTGGTTGAGCAGCTGAAGTACTGGCTGGGGTCAGGGTTTTTTCTTAGGGAGTTGATCAGTCGTGCATGGTTGACAATGCTAAGGACGGTAGCTCCACAATTTTCTGGCTCTGCAGTAAAAGCATCTGGAGCAGCTCTTCGTGAAAGAAATGAATCATGTCAGCGAAATGCTCACAACCTCACTCATTTGTCGAGATGTCAACATCCGGTTCAAATACCCCTAAGGACCGCTCTTAGACCTCAGATCCCCTCGTCATTGTCATCTCATCCGCATTTATTCCAACCTCTCCACAGATCAACCAGGCGCAGCTCTTTAAGGGCTCTCAGTTCGTTGTCTGGTGCTACTCCATTTGACGATGCTCTCGAATCAGAAGACGAGTCCATTGAGCAGTATGAAGCACGGCTGGAAGCTAGAAGACAGCAGCTGCAAGCAAGTGGAGCGGCCGTTACGAGCAATCCCGTTTCATCGACAGGTAGCATGGCGGAAGCGTTTGAAATAACGCCTCAGACGGCCATGGGGATCACGGGTATAATCAGCATTATCGCTGTAGTAGCTCCTTTCTTCATGAGCGCGTGGAATCCCGCAGCTTCGCCTCACATGAAAGGCCTCACCTACCTGACGCTGCTCCTGGGGTTCTACATGGCGTGGAACATTGGTGCGAATGACGTGGCAAACGCAATGGGGACGTCAGTGGGTTCGGGAGCGCTGACGCTACGCCAAGCGGTGCTAGCAGCGGCGATCTTGGAGTTCGGCGGGGCTTTCCTGGTGGGATCGCACGTGAGCCACACGATGCAGAACGGAATCATAAAGGCAAATGTGTTTGCCGGGAAAAACGCGATGCTGTTCACAGGGATGATCTCCTCTCTGGCAGCCGCAGGAACGTGGCTTCAGGTACGTGCAATACTAAGTGCCATTGACGCTGGGGTGTTAAGGAGACACTGATCATCTAGGAGAAGGTGATGGTTAGGGTGAACAATGCTGAGTCTATTTACCAGAGGAGGAAGAATGCGAAAGGAATGGTGCCGACGTCATGGATCCGAAGAAATCTAAGCTGACCGGCCCTTGTATTCCTCCACGATGCACAGGTTGCTTCGTACTTCGGCTGGCCGGTATCGACGACGCACTGCATCATCGGGGCAATGGTTGGGTTCGGCATCATCTTCGGCGGCTGGAATGCCGTCTACTGGTCGTCGCTGGCTCGCGTGGTGTCGTCGTGGGTCGTCTCGCCTGTTCTCGGTGCTAGCATCGCCTTCATCGTTTACAAGTGTATCCGAAAGGTATGCACGTCCTTAGGCAATCTGGTTAAAAACGCTCGATGCCTCAAACAATAGCATCGTCACGTTCATCGTCAACAAAGTATCAGGAAAGATCTGGCTGTTTAAGCGATGCCAACATCACCGTGCAGCATTTAACAATGTAAGATGGATGGAAGTTAACTGGAGGCTGGATGATTTCAATTTCCGATACACTGGGACGAGGGGCAGGAAAGAATAGCTGTGAACGTAGCAGTGGCCGGTGGTGCGAGTTATTGGCGCAAGGTGGAGAGTATGATGTCCACGGGGGAGCGGAGAGCAATGATTCAAGACGGCCGAGACGAGTGGGCGTTGGTGAAACCTTGTCTCGTGGCTGGACAGTAGCTCTAAATTATTGTAGCATGTTGTTACCGAACAGGTACCTCGTCCTCGTCCCCTTGACTTCTGACTTTGCCACTCCTTTTTTTTCCAAACTCTTCCACTCCCTTTCTCCTCTTCTCTTTCCCCCCCACGTTCCCATGCTGCCACCTCTCCCCTTCCGCTTCACCCCCACCGCGCCGGCACCACACTCAGTTCGTCTACAGCTCGTCCAATCCGGGGCAGGCAGCGTCGACAGCGGCGCCGATCCTCGTCTTCGCGGGTGTCTCCGCCTTCTCCTTCTTCTCGCTCTTCACCTCCCCGGGGGTCCTCCTCCGCGCCTGCGCGCTCTCCCTGGCCGCGGGTGCTGCTTCCGCGGTGGCCATGTCCGCCGTGGTGAAGCGGCAGATGGGCGAGCTGCTGGGGGAGTTCTGTGAGATCCCCAAGCAGTTGGAGGAGCCGAAGCCGGAGAAGGGCCGCGGACCCATGGGCACGCAGCTGCGCATTGTTTATGGCGTGTTTGGTTACCTGCAGGTGCGTGGGCGAGGCTGTAGTCAAGTGGGAGGGATACAAGGATCAATGGTCGGCTCACATGAGAGGAGAGGAGAGTGTCTGGAGTTGAATAAAGGGTTGCGGGTCCATGGGCATGCAGCCGGACGTTGTGTATGGCGCCTTTGGATGCTAGCTGGGGGGAAGGATGGGCCATGGGAGGTGCATGGCTGTGTTGCAGGAGATTGATTACTGTCATGTGGCATGTGTGATTCTCGCACATTCAGTTGCCCAAACCTGGCAATTCATGCTACCCGTTGAAGCCCGGTTAGTTTTAAGCTGACCTGGCTCCTGCTCTGTGTTGTTCCATGCAGGTGCTCTCTGCATGCTTCATGTCATTTGCTCACGGTGCAAACGATGTGGCCAACGCCATCGGCCCCATCTCAGCTGCTCTAGCCATCCTCGCCTCCTCCTCCGCATCCATCCCCTCCTCATCCCTCGCTGCCGCTCCAGTGTCTGCCGGCGTTGCCACTCAGGTTCTTATTTGGGGCGGTTTTGGCATTGTGGCTGGTCTTATCATCTGGGGTTACCGTGTCATTGCAACAATTGGGAACAGGATCACAGAGCTCACTCCCACCAGAGGATTCGCAGCAGAGTTCTCAGCGGCTACAGTGGTGGTGGTTGCATCCAGACTGGGTCTCCCAATCTCTGCCACGCACACACTTGTTGGAGCAGTGATGGGAGTGGGCCTTGCCCGCGGTATTGGGAGTGTACGGGCCGATGTGGTGAAGGAGATTGTGGCATCGTGGCTTGTCACCATTCCTATCGGAGCAGCGCTGTCTGTGATGTACGCCTTCCTGTTCTTGAGAATTGTTCCTGGATTTATGTAGGCTTGCATGTGCTTCTTATGGACCCTTGTCTTTTCTTTGTTTTAGCAATAGTGCATGAAGCTGTTGCCTGTAACATTAGTTGGATTTTGAGTAATAGCAGTTCAAATTAGATGTTCCAATCAACTGGTAAGGCGTATTTATTATAAGGTGAGCTCCAATCGAAGCTCTTGTCCAACTCCCTCCATGCCAACAAATACTCTATATTTGGGGAATCAAATGCTGCTGACCTGTAAATGTGAGCAGCATCGCTGTATAGAGGTGTATCTGGGTGTCGAACGTTTTTCAGAGCTGGTAGGAACTGGTTGAGCTGACAGCCACGTGGAAAGAGTTGCCAGATTACGCTTTCCAGATTGCGCTTGCGGAACTCATGGTGCTGTACTGGAACTTAGCTAAAACCCGGACTGTACACTGGAAACCAACTTTTTGAGAATCCCGCTGCCTACCAGCTTCACAGAAAATGGATTCTCCATGAGCCATGTCCAACCAACCACCCACACCAGCAACAACCCAGGAACGTACGACCTAGAGGACTCTCTTGTCAGCACCACTTACTCGCTAAAGCTGAGTACTTCTGCGAGTACTGACGTGGATCGAGCTTCAATGAGGCTTTAGTTTGACGTTTGGCGAAGCTGTCATAGTTGAATAGTCGGTCAGCGAGTAAGGTGTTGTCGATCGGTTTATCTAGGGAGCGATAGCGTACCAATGGATGCAGCAGCAGCGAGCCGAGGGAAGCCGGCGAAACCCTCAACGAGCAGCGCTGCGGAGAATGAGAAGAAGCAGAGACAGCGCGTGAAGAAGGAAGTGTGTCAGGAGGTGGTTCGGAAACTCCAGGAAGCCAATCATCCATGTATTCAACAGCCTAACTTCGAGGAAGCCCTTCAGGCCCACTTTCTCCGCTTGCCTACGAGGTAGGGTTTCATGTGTGTTTTTTTTTTCTCTCACTCCCTCTTTTCTCTCGTTTCATAATCACTTTGTGCGACGGACGAGTCAGGCACCCGACATTCGCCAGTCAGATTTGTAGAATACCAGTTTCAAGCCACGACCTTTGTCGACGTCTTGGTACGCATTGTTACTCATCATTTTGATGGTTCTACACATTGGATGTTATCCGAATCATGAGCGACGATCTTCAACATATTGCGAAATACTTCTTCCTTGATCTCCGTCATGAGTGTTCTGTTGGTCTGTAACTAACGTCTTCTATGTCATACCTGAAGGTCTACCCCGTTCGCGCATAAAACATGTCCATCATCCCGTCATTTTATTTATAAGGCCGGGAGTAATTTTTGGCTGGTTCCATCCGTACTCCTAATGCTTACCCCTTGGTGAACATGCTCTGGTGCTTGTCACCTCAGTGATTGTCATAAAACTCGAGTAAAACATGGAATGTGACAATCATTGTCATATTTCCAGCATGCATTTACATCATATTATTGAATGTGACTGATTGTAACTGTCAAAATTATTCAATAATGTGATTGTATCGTATCCGTCCGATTCAGATACGCCCTGGATGTGAACACGGAGCGCGCAGAGGATGTGCTCACCCACAAGCGGCTTCTCGAAGAAGCTTCGAAGATGCCTAGCCAGCCGGTGGTGCATGTCCGAGCCGTGCGGGTAGGTTCGGAATCGGGGTTGAGGCAGACTGTCTGGGATTAGTCAGGAATCGGGCGAGTTGTAATTGTTGAGCGGCAAGTGTACGTTTACGGCAGGTTAAGGAATTGTACTTTCATTTGCTTGTGTGACTGGCCTGTCGGTCAAATCCTCCCTCCCACCCTTTCCCATCATCCTACCTGTCGGCGCGCAGGATTTTGATGTACCATGCCATGCATCATGTTTCTTGCACTATTCCACACCAATTCTCCTTTGCTGGAACCTGCTCCGTTTGAAACGTCCCTCTGATCCCCTCCGTTTTTGCCAAGGTCACTGGTCAGGCCAGACCAGGCACCTCAAAATCGGCTCGGCTAACTGCATTGCACCCCCCTCCCCCCGCTTCCCACTCCCCCCCCCCCTCCCCACACCCCCCTGCCCCCTCTCTCCCCTCCCCCTACCCAAAACCGCTCGTTTTATGCTCGGCTGAGCCCTCTTGCAGTGCTGTCTTGACCTCACCCAACCATTGGCCATCTCTCCCTCTTGTATCTCTCCATTTTTTAGATGCCTAGAGAATTACATGCTAGATGGTTGCCGCCGCAACCTCGTAGTGTCACTCATTTCTCTCCCTGTCTGTCTCTTCCACGCGCAGGTCACATCGGCCCTGCCAGGGGGAGCTGATGGCGCTGCGTGTTGTGAGTCGACTCAAAACATTTCTCCCCGTCTTTCTCTTCCACACGCAGGTCACGTCGGCCCTGCCAGGGGGAGGCGATGGCGCTGCGTGTTTTGAGTCAATTCAAAACATTTCTTACCCTGTCTGTCCCTTCCACGCGCAGGTCACATCCGCCCTGCCAGGGGGGGCTGATGGCGCTGCAGGGGGAGGCACGATGGAGACTGACGAGGCGGTAGCTGAATTCAAGCGCCAAGGGTAGGGATGTGAGGCTAGGGGCTGTGAGTGTAGAGGCTTTCAGGCTAGGGCTGTGAGGTTAGGGGCTGTGCGGGTAGGGTTTTGCCGGTGAGACTCTGAGATTATGGTTCTGAGGGGGCTGATGGCGCTGCAGGGGGGGGCAGGCCACCATGGAGACTGACGAGGCGGCAGCTGAATTCAAACGCCAGGGGTAAGGGCTGTGCGGGGAGGGTCTGTGTGGTGAGGGGCTGTGCGGGTAGGGGTTTTCCGGTGACGATAGGGTTCTGAGGAGGCGATGGCGCTGCAGGGGGAGGCACGATGGAGCCTGACGAGGCAGCAGCTGAATTCAAACGCCAGGGGTAAGGGCTGTGCGGGTAGGGGCTCTGAGGGTAAGGGCTGTGCGGGTAGGGGCTCTGAGGGTAAGGGCTGTGCGGGTAGGGGCTCTGAGGTTAAGGGCTGTGCGGGTAGGGGCTCTGAGGTTAAGGGCTGTGAGGGTAGGGGCTCTGAGGTTAAGGGCTGTGAGGGTAGGGGCTCTGAGGTTAAGGGCTGTGCGGGTAGGGGCTCTGAGGTGAAGGGCTGTAAGGTCAGGGTTTTGCCGGTGAGGCTCTTAGGTTAGGGTTCTGAGGTAGCGATGGTGCTGCAGGGGGGGTAAGGGGGTAGGGATGTGAGGGGGTAGGGATGTGAGGGTCTCTTACGCATTGTCCTCCTCAACAGATTAAGCTTCCCGGACCTCCCCCACCGGTTCTTCCTGCTCCCTTCTTCCCCTTTCCCAACTCCTTCCCCGTTTGCTTCATTCAACCCACTTCCTTCTCAAGACTCCCTTGACCTCCCTCCGTCTTACCCCCCTCTTTGCTTCCCCCTCCCGCTCTTTCCCCCCTTTCGTCTCCCTCCCCCGTTCCTCCTCCCGTTTGTCCCCCAGCATGCTAGCTCCGCCAGCGTTCGGGTCCTCCCCGAATCTGGACTCCCCAGTGCTGGCGGGAGGCGCCATGTGCGCGGGCGGGGCAGGGGGAGGGGGGATACCGGAGGGTGCAGCTGCGAACGCGGATGGACATTCAGACGGAAAGGGGTCCTTCAGGTGAGTGTGTGTGGGGGAAGGGATGGATGTATGTGAAGGGGTTTATTGAAATAGTGTGAAGGGAAGGGGAACTGTGTGAGCGTATACTCCATGCGTCCCTGCTTCTGCTCCCCTCCCATCTCCTCATTCCTGTCCTCAACCTGGAATGTCATTCCCTCATCGCCTTATCTTCCTCTCATACCACCTCACCTCTGTCCCCACTCCCCCTCTCTCCCACCCCCCACCTTTCCTCTCCTCCCCCCTGTTCCCTCTTTTGCGTTCCCCATCTTCATCACTTCTGATCCTCCTTCCCTTCTTGCTTTCCCCCCTGCCGCCAGTTCTCTCCTGCAGGTGCCCATGCACGAAGTCACCTTCTCCACTGTGGACCGCCCCAAGCTGCTCAGTCAAGTGAGTCAACCCCAGTCAAACGCGAGTCAGGTCAGCCAAACCAAGTCAAGCGTCAGTCAAACTGGTCAGGACAAACCCTGCGCAACCGAAGCCTTCCCGACTTTGAAACTGCCCCTGCTATGCTCTCTTCCCATCCACCTCTCCCACCTTAAACCCCCCCTTTCCCCCCTCCCCTCTCTCCCTTCCCCCCTCTTCCCCCCCTCCCCTCTCTCCCATCACCCCCCCCCTCTCCCCCTCCTCCCCCAAGCAACTGTCTGTCCGCGGTGCTGGCAGTCGTGGGGCTGAACGACCAGGTTTGAGGTGTCTCAAAACGCGCCCCTCTCCTCTCCAACCCTCCCTCCTTTCCCCCTTCTCCCCTCCCCCATTCTCCCCCCTTCCCCCCACCTTCACCCCCCCTCCCCCCCTCCCTCACTCAATATAACAGCTCTCAGCAGTGCTGGCGGATGTGGGGTTGAACATTCGCGAGGAGCATGTCATCTCCACCTCCGATGGGAAATGAACGAAGATGCATTGGTACTCCACCCGCACCTCTCTCCTCCTCTTTCCCTTTCCCCTTCTCATCCGTCCCCCAACTACAGCTCTCAGCAGTGCTGGCAGACGTGGGGTTGAACATCCGTGAGGCGCATGTCTTCTCCACCTCTGATGGGCTCTCCCTCGACGTCTTTGTTGTTGACGGCTGGCCCTCTGAGGTGCGTACATGCGTGTGATGATGTGCGATGATGCGTGTGTGCTCGTGTGTGTGTCTTCTCGTTCGCCACCTCTGATGGGCTCTCCCTCGACGTCTTTGTTGTTGACGGCTGGCCTTCCGAGGTGCGAGTTTGATGTGTGTGCTCAGCTCATGCATGCGACTTCTCATTTGCCACCTCCTCCACATGCCACCTCTTCCACATGCCAAATCCTCCACTTGCTGCCTCCTCTCCACTCTTTCAGAACTATAGTCCACACCTTCTCCAACCCTTTCCTACCACTTGCTTCTTCTCGCTATCCCATCCAATCTTCTCCACGCTCTCTCCACCATCTCCATGCCCTCCGCCCCTTCCTCCCACCCACCTTCCTCTATGCCCAACCTCCGCGTTATCCCTCCCCTCCCTCCTCCCATGCGTGCTGGGTGCCAGGATGTGGTGGAGATGCGGGCGGCACTCATGCGAGCAGCACAGGTAAAAGTCTAGATCCTGTCCTGTGAGTCTCTGTAAAAGAAATACCTTGTAAAGGCGGCAGGAGCTGGTGGGGATGCGTGCGTGCGGGCAGGTAGCAGTACTCATGCGAGCAGCACAAGTAAAAGTCTAGATCCTGTCCTGTGAGTCTCTGTAAAAGAAATACCTTGTTAAGGCGGCAGGAGCTGGTGGGGATGCGTGCGTGCGGGCAGGTAGCAGTACTCATGCGAGCAGCACAGGTAAAAGTCTAGATCCTGTCCTGTGAGTCTCTGTAAAAGAAATACCTTGTAAAGGCGGCAGGAGCTGGTGGAGATGCGTGCAGGCAGCGAGCAGCACATGTGAGCAGCGCACCGCAGCACAGCACAGCACCGCTCTGCACCACATATGCACTCCAATGCACTGCACTTGCAGCCTGAGACGAGCGCGGTTTGTCACACCGCTCAGCAGCTGAGTTTTGAGATATCTCAAAGTCCTGTCACACCGTGCAGCAAGCTGCTCGTCATTTGTGCAACAGCTCTCACTGTCACTATCACGTTTTAAACCCACCATTGCCTCGCCCTTCCTTCCCTTCCGTTCCATTGTTCTTTCCTGCCTTTCCTCCCCCTTCCGTCAGCAAGCGGGCGAAAATGGTGCGCAGTCAACCCTTCCAGAAGCATCCGGCCAATCAAATCCCGCCATGTCAGAATCCGCAGGCGTGCCCATGTCCACGTCAGCAGCCACAACAGCGGCAGCAGGACACGTGGCAGCCTCCAGTTTGTCTGGAGCGGATTCCCGCGTGCGCATCCCATCGGACGGGCGGGATGACTGGGAGATTGACAACGACCAGCTGAAGCTGCAGCATAAGATCGCCTCAGGGTCGTTTGGAGACCTGTGAGTGACGTGGGAATGCTGTGGCCAGTGTATCACTTTTAATTCACGTAGAGAGACGGCATGACTGGGAGATTGACAACGACCAGCTGAAGCTGCAGCATAAGATCGCCTCAGGGTCGTTTGGAGACCTGTGAGTGACTTCAATAGTGTGGCGATTTTTGTTCTCTTCAGATAGGGATGCGTACCTATGTTTGGGTCTCTTCACGTGCTTTTCTACCTTCACCTGACTACTTCCCTTTCCCGCAGCTATTGAGGCACGTAGTGTGACCAGGACGTGGCGATCAAGACGAGAGTGTATGTGCACACACTACCAGTCCTTCAGTTTCCTTACGTGTCTGCCTTTCCGTGTCTTTCCTTCCCCACCCACAGCTACCGCGGCACGTACTGTGGGCAGGACGTGGCAATCAAGATTCTCAAGGCGGAGCGGCTGAACGACTCATTGCAGCAGGAGTTCGCTCAGGAGGTCTTCATCATGCGGTGCGTGGGGAGAGGGAGGGTGAGTGGGGTGGGGGAGGGTGAGTGAGGAGAAGCAGACATTGTCCACAGCAACTTCCTCAGGAGATGTGCATTGGGCTACCCTTATGCAAGCATCGTGGACGAGAGTTCGCTCTGTTCAGGAGGTTTGCATCAGGCGATGAGTGAGGAGAGGAGGTCTGTGTGCAAGCTATGTTTCGCCTCTGCTGTGCACATCACCAGTTTCGCAGGGTCACTTTCACACTTTCTTCTTGCTCTGTTGTTCAACCTTAACTCTTTTCCCCACTCCCCAATGCAGGAAGGTGCGGCATAAGAATGTCGTTCAATTTATTGGGGCGTGCACCAAGCCCCCGAATCTCTCCATTGTCACCGGTGAGCTATTTGATCACGTGCTAGAAGTAGTGTTCTATTTGATCACGTGCTAGAAGTAGTGTTCTATTTGATCACGTGCTAGAAGTAGTGTTCTACTTGATCACGTGATAAAAGTAGTTTTCTGAGACGTCTCAAAACGCTACTTTTATTTATCACGTAGCCCCCGAATCTCTCCATTGTCACAGGTGAGCTATTTGTTCCCCAAGCTATATGGTGTGTGTGTGTGGGTGGGGGGGGGGAGGAAGAATCCTGGGGTGGGTGTGGGCGTGTATGACGCTAGCTACCCATGTGAGATATCCAGTCCAGAAGCAAGATTTGCTCGCCCTCCTTCCTATCACATCCACACGGTTTGCATGGTGGGCGGGGGCATCGTATACAACAATCCACTAAGCGTGTTTCTGTGTTTTCCCCGTTGCCCTCTTCTCCCTTGGTCCATTTTTTCCCCTTTCCCATGCCCCCCCTCCAGAGTTCATGGTGGGCGGCAGTGTGTACGACTATCTACACAAGCACCGCGGCGGCATGAAGCTACCCATGGTACTGCGCGTGGGCATGGGAGACACTCACTCTCTGCTCATCTCTCCACCCCCTTGTTCCCTCGCCCCCTTGTTCCTTTCTTCCCTTGCACCCTTCCACCCTGGCCTCCTGGCCTCCTGGCCTCCTGGCCGCCTCAACCCGCCTGCCCCCCATGCAGAGTTCATGGTGGGCGGCAGTGTGTACGACTATCTACACAAGCACCGCGGCAGCATGAAGCTGCCCATGGTGCTGCGTGTGGGCATGGACGTGGCCAAGGGAATGGACTTTCTGCACAAGAACAACATCATTCACCGCGACCTCAAGGCGGCAAACCTTCTCATGGATGAGAACGATGTGAGTGAAAGGTTGTGTTGGGTTGTGTCGGTGCGGTGCTGTGCAGTGTTGTGTGTGCTTGTTTGGTAGTCGGTTGGGTGCGTGTGGGAATGGACTTCCTGCAAATCTGCTCATGCATGAGAATGATGAGAGCAACAGGGCTGAGGGCAGAGTGTGGTGTGTGCTTCTGCTTCCGTGCATGAGTTGGCGCTGCGCATGGGCTTGGACGTGGCACAAGGGATGCACCACACTGTGCAATGGACGTGAAAGGAATCATGCACAAAATTCCAGTACCTCACGCATTCCTGTTCTTTCATGGCCCTGTGTCTGCCAGGTGGTGAAGGTGGCGGACTTTGGAGTGGCGCGAGTGAAGGCCAACAGTGGCGTCATGACAGCAGAGACTGGCACCTACCGCTGGATGGCACCTGAGGTAACACCTGGATGGCATCTGGTGTAAAACCCGAAACATCTCAGAATCTGAAACATCTGCACTGAAACACTATTGCATGGCACTGAACGTAAACACGAGCATCGGACATATGACCCCAAGGCAAACACATGCAAGTCTCTGCTCTCCTCCCCTTCTCCCTGGTTGCGCACCAGGTGATTGAACATCGGGCATATGACCACAAGGCAGACATCTTCAGCTTCGGCATCACCATGTGGGAGATGCTGACGGGCAAGGTGAGATGCTGACGGGCAAGGTGAGATGCTGACGGGCAAGGGGAGAGTGAGGATGGGAATGTGAGCTGCTGACGGTGTATTTTGAGTCGACTTAAATACGTGTGTGGGTTTTGCGGTGCCTAAGAAAACTTACGCATCACCATGTGGGAGATGCTGACAGGCACGGTGAGAGTGAGACGAAGGGAAGGGCTTGGTGAGGTGGGATGTTGGTGTAAGGTTGGCTGTTATGGCTGCTATGGCTATTATGGCTGTTATGGCTGTTATGGCTGCTATGGCTGTTATGGCTGTTATGGCTGCTATGGCTGTTATGGCTGTTATGGCTGTTATGGCTGTTATGGCTGTTATGGCTGTTATCGGGCAACACGATGGTGGTGTGGGATGTTGGTGTAAGAATGGCTGTTATTGCTGTTATGGCTGTTATCGGGCAATACGATGGTGGTGTGGGATGTTGGTGTAAGAATGGCTGTTATTGCTGTTATGGCTGTTATCGGGCAACACGATGGTGGTGTGGGATGTTGGTGTAAGGATGGCTGTTATTGCTGTTATGGCTGTTATCGGGCAACACGATGGTGGTGTGGGATGTTGGTGTAAGGATTGCTGTTATTGCTGTTATGGCTGTAATCGGGCAACACGATGGTGGTGTGGGATGTTGGTGTAAGGATGGCTGTTATTGCTGTTATGGCTGTTATCGGGCAACACGATGGTGGTGTGGGATGTTGGTGTAAGGATGGCTGTTATTGCTGTTATGGCTGTAATCGGGCAACACGATGGTGGTGTGGGATGTTGGTGTAAGGATGGCTGTTATTGCTGTTATGGCTGTTATCGGGCAACACGATGGTGGTGTGGGATGTTGGTGTAAGGATTGCTGTTATTGCTGTTATGGCTGTAATCGGGCAACACGATGGTGGTGTGGGATGTTGGTGTAAGGATGGCTGTTATTGCTGTTATGGCTGTTATCGGGCAACACGATGGTGGTGTGGGATGTTGGTGTAAGGATGGCTGTTATTGCTGTTATGGCTGTAATCGGGCAACACGATGGTGGTGTGGGATGTTGGTGTAAGGATGGCTGTTATTGCTGTTATGCCTGTTATCGGGCAATACGATGGTGGTGTGGGATGTTGGTGTAAGGATGGCTGTTATTGCTGTTATGGCTGTTATCGGGCAACACGATGGTGGTGTGGGATGTTGGTGTAAGGATGGCTGTTATTGCTGTTATGGCTGTTATCGGGCAACACGATGGTGGTGTGGGATGTTGGTGTAAGGATGGCTGTTATTGCTGTTATGGCTGTTATCGGGCAACACGATGGTGGTGTGGGATGTTGGTGTAAGGATGGCTGTTATTGCTGTTATGGCTGTTATCGGGCAACACGATGGTGGTGTGGGATGTTGGTGTAAGGATGGCTGTTATTGCTGTTATGGCTGTTATCGGGCAACACGATGGTGGTGTGGGATGTTGGTGTAAGGATGGCTGTTATTGCTGTTCTGGCTGTTATCGGGCAACACGATGGTGGTGTGGGATGTTGGTGTAAGGATGGCAGTTATTGCTGTTATGGCTGTTATCGGGCAACACGATGGTGGTGTGGGATGTTGGTGTAAGGATGGCTGTTATTGCTGTTATGGCTGTTATCGGGCAATACGATGGTGGTGTGGGATGTTGGTGTAAGGATGGCTGTTATTGCTGTCATGGCTGTTATCGGGCAACACGATGGTGGTGTGGGATGTTGGTGTAAGGATGGCTGTTATTGCTGTTATGGCTGTTATCGGGCAACACGATGGTGGTGTGGAATGTGGGAAGGAGCAGGTATGGATAGCAATCATGTGTTCATCGTATAACAGCCTAAAACTATCGTTTCACATCCCCTTGTTGCCGTCGAAGCTTGTCCTCACACTTTTCTTTAACAAAGTAGTTTTCATCTGCTAGCCCTCCAATTATTTAACCTCCCTTCTCCCGGGCCCCCTCCCCCCCGTTTTTCACCCTACACCACCCCCATTCTTTCTTTCCTTACTCACGTGCACACACCCCCACCCCCCTCCATCCCCCTCCTCTCTCCCCCCCCCCCCCCCCCCCTCCTCCTCTCAGCTGCCCTATCCAGACCTCACACCCTTGCAGGCAGCAGTCAGCGTGGTTCAACGAGTAAGTCCCCGTCCTCCTCCATCATCCACTGTCATCACCATCCCTCCCTCCTGTCACTCTCACCTTTCTTTCCCCCTTGCTTCCCTAGTCCCACCATGGTTTCACACCTGTCTCAGGGCCTGTATGTACGTCCCCATTCCCTGTCTCTGTCTCAAGACCTGTCAGGCCTTGCTTCCGTGCCTCCCCGTTACCCCAAGACTCCCTGCCTCACCTCCCTTCCTCCCCTCTCTCTTTTTTGCTCACTTCACTCTCCCTTTCCCGCTCCCAGGGCCTGCGTCCGCCCATCCCCAAGGGCACGCACCCGCGGCGGGCGGATCTCTTTGAGCGCTGCTGGGCCACCAACCCTGCTGACCGCCCCGAGTTTCCTCTCCTCCCTGACTCACTCCCTCTCTGCCTCTGCCCTCCTCCCCCGTTCCCCATTCTCCCCTCCCAGGGCCTGCGTCCGCCCATCCCCAAGGGCACGCACCCGCGGCTGGCAGATCTCTTTGAGCGCTGCTGGGCCACCAACCCTGCCGACCGACCTGAATTCTCAGAGATAATCCGAGTCATTGCCGAAATTGCACAGGAGGTGAGATCTCGTTTGGGTTGGGTTGACTTGCCACCCCCACAAAGCAGCTGTTGATTCCCGCCTGCTGGACCTCCACCAACCACGCCGATTGCCTGATTTTTTTAGAGAACATCTGGGTCACTTCCCATGGTCGTCCTGTTTTGTTATCACTCATCTTCTACCCATGTTGCGTGACTGGGGGGGTTTTTTTTTCCCCCTTGTGGTGCACGTCAGCTCGAGGAGGATGGAGAGGCCGACCAACAGAGACGGGAGAAGCGCGGAGGGTTCTTTGCATCATTCAAGAGAGCAGGGTCAGGGCCTAGATGATATTGCTCAATGGAAGATTGTGCGAAGCTGCTACCTATTGAACAACAAAGAAATAGCAGATTTGCAACGGAAGGAAAGGTTGCTGGAGGTTGAAATTCATGTTCCTGTACTGTTTGAGAGTTGGACTTTATATCCAATGTATGCACTTCAAGTTATATGGTCATTGTTTATCCACCGAACCCAACCCCGCGTAATATTCATTGTTCTATGCAAGCGGCTTTGTTCACTGAATGAGCACAAATCGCTGAATGGTGACTGACTGCTAGGGGATCGAGGGAATGAATGCAGACACTCCACATCATGAATACATTGGTACCTTGACGTTTGCACAGCCCCATGCCAGCAGACACCCACGTCAGCAATGCTTACCATCCAATGCAACACAGCCTCTCAATTGTCAGCACGAGAAGTGGGTTTCCTGTCGCGGCTCGATCCCAATTTCGCGCTGACTGGCACATTCAAATCCAGCATAGCAGGCCCAGCAGCAAACTGAGCAGCGCGGCAATCTTGAGGCCTGGATGGCTCGAGGAAGTTTGGGACTCTGCTTCCTAGTTTACCTTGAGCTCTCCGCCGGCCGTTCAGGGAAAGATGGCGGTCCGAACCGCCAGGAAGTGTTCACGAGGCCTTGAAATTGGACCGTCTCTTCTTCACTTCGCCGTAGTTCCATTTTCCATCGACTTCGTAGCCCTTGAGTTTGTCCGCTTATCCCACAACCTGTCACTGACAGTTCAAACTGTACTTCGGATATCGCCGAAATTGTGATCACTTTTGCTGCACCTGCCATTTGTTCGGTCAAATAAGTTCACTGTATCGGTTCGCGTTATATCTCCTCAGTGCGTTACTGATTGCTTAAGTTATTATCGGCGGTCTGCCGAGTCATGGGTATGGCTGCGCAGTTAGTTCCGCCACGGCTTCTCTTCCGTCAGCTGTTTGAAAAGGAATCTAGCACCTACACCTTCCTGTTGGCTGACGAAACTGCACCGAAGCAACCCGGCGTGGTAAGCACGACCTTCATCTCAGAGTCATGCCTCTGGAAATCAACATATTCTTACACAGGCTAACGTAGTATTTTCAAATATCCTTACCCGTTACTCGCTCTGTTGCCAGCTGATCGACCCCGTTGACTTGACCGTTGACCGCGACGTGCGGCTAGCTGAGGAGCTCGGAGTGACTCTTCGTTTCGCCCTCAACACACACGCACACGCAGACCACGTCACTGGAACTGGTCTGCTGAAGGTATCCCAGCCGTTTTGTGAAAATAATAAACTTTGACGGAACCTTAAAGATATTTTCGCCTGTCACGCGAGAGACCCGGGTTCGATCCCCGGCATCGGCGCTACAAAACTTTTGGGGCTTCTCACTGCGTACCTCCCACACGACTGTCCATCAAAATAGCTCGCCATTCCATATTTTTGTCTTCCGACTCTCTTTATCTTTGTCTTATCCCACTAACCTCCCTCCGTTTGTCCAACATCCACTCTCCCTCCCCATCCCGATCAAAGAAACGGGTACCTGGCATCAAGTCCGTCATTTCGTCTGCTAGTGGAGCTCGAGCTGACGTGTTGGTGGGCCACGGTGACGTCATAGCCTTTGGCAGATTTGGCCTCCAGGTGAATTAGTAGCAAACACTGTGTTTCTGTATGTACTCTTTTGCTGTATGCAATCACGAGTAGGATCAGATGGACAGAGTTTCCTTGGTTCGTGCTTAAAAAGATCCTCCCTGACACTAGACTTGAAAGTTCGCTTTTGCAGATGGTTTAAGTTTGGTATCTCCAAGGCATGACGATCTGATTCCCAAATCTGTCTTGCAGGTCCGGTCGACACCAGGCCACACGAATGGGTGTGTGACATATGTCCTGGTGGAGCGTACCGAGACAGCCGCGCCGTTTGCAGCAGCACTAGAGAACTCTCTTGAAGGGAACGTGTGGAGGGCAAGTGATGGAGGTTTGGAGCGCCTGGGAAGTGCTGGGTTCTCCTTTGACAAGCTCTTAACGAGGATGGCGTTCACCGGAGATGCGTTGCTTATAAGAGGATGTGGAAGGACAGACTTTCAGGTGTGTTTTGTTAAACTCCAGGGTCTACTTTGCTCTTTCACTGTTACAACTGCATCCTTGCAGCAGGGGCATGCACATGCTGAAATCTATCTTTTCTCATTTTCCACTTCATTACTTGCATCCTCCAATATCTAACATCCTCTGTACATTGTTCAGGAAGGAGATGCTGCTGAGCTGTACCGTTCAGTCCACTGTCAGGTGAGCTGATAACCAGATCAATGGAGCCATAATGTGGATTCAAATCATGGTTATATGAGCAGGATAAACAGGATTCGTCCCCCTTTTTTGTCCCTCCAGATATTGTCACTTCCACCAGACACGCTCCTGTACCCTGCACATGACTACCAAGGCCGAACTGTAAGAACCAAATTACTTTTTGCCTGCTATTTACGAATGCAACTGTGCATCAGCAAATGCCACCTTGGGTTTTTTTTGTGAATATATTGATATAGTGCTGACATGGATGAACCCCAATGGCAGGTAACATCAGTGGAAGAGGAGCGAAAGCACAACCCGAGGCTGACAAAGGGCGAGGTGAGAGAGCTAGGGGATTGGCTCGGGAGAGGCAGTCTGACAGATGTTCCCGTGAGGTTTGTCCCAGATAGCTGCTGCATTGCATTTCTCCTTGTGCATTCTCTCGCTGTAATGCCTGTAACCTGTGTTGCTCCAATCTTAAACCGTACTCTTGATTGCTGTGAGCAGGAGGCGTTCAAGGCTATCATGGATGGTAAGCTCTAGTTTTGTAGGCTATGTTTTTTCCTTCCTGGTCATGTTTCTACACCAGATACTCTTCTCACGTTCTTCATCCGTATGCTTCTGTCCTCTGTTCTGAAGGTCACAGCTACCGTACATGGGTTTCTCCTTCATTTCCTCACCTGTATGCTTCTGTGCTTTCTTCTTGCCACATGTCTCTCGCTATTTTGTGTGCACGGCATGTCTCTCCAGGCCTAGGGCTGGCACCACCAAAGAAGCTCAAGGAGGCACTTCCAGCTAACATGGCTGATGGGGTTGTGGAAGAACAGAAAACCACAATTCTGGCTGCTTAAATGCTGAAGTCAGCTGGATGGTTCTGGACAGGGGGTTTTACATCGTGTATATAGGTTCTAGTACATGCCTGGCTTTTTTTTAGGGCACCGGTAGTACTTGTTTTTCAGCAGCGACCATGTCTAGTCCAGATAGATTTCGTGTGTAGCCCCTTCTTTGTGTGAATGTTGAAGCTCCTCTGCTTGCACTCCAGTAAAGACTTGTTCTTCATAACACTGGTACAGTCTTGCTGTACATTTTCTCATTACCAGCTAGATATTGTGCATCTCCCTCGTCTCTTCAAAATTCAAGCTGACCAGACCAGGTTTGAAGGGCCTTACCGTATTCCCACCTGCTTTGTTGAAATGTTTTTACACCCAGCACTACAGCACTAAATGGCACCCTATGTACCTTACAGGTGGGAGGCGCCTTGGCACAGGAGCAATGAAATGATTGGAGATAAAAAGATGGGCTGCTAAAAAAAAGAATAAGGAGCAGGGTTACTAGAATCTAAAAAAAATAACTGGATTGATACACCCAGGGTGGAGGACGTCTGATTTGTAAGGTGGTAGAGTGGCTATTCATAATAGTGCACTGCCCACTCTACCAGTAAGTAAGAAGCAGCAGTAGAGAATTGACAGAGCAACTGCGTTGAGATTGGGCAGAGAGAGAAAAGCAGTGGCATCGGGGAGGTGGCGAGCTTCCTTGTGCGAGGCAATTTCTGAGCCGACTCATATGCCAACACGGTCAGTGCAGCGACTAGAGAGGCGGGCCGACTCATATGCCAGCAAGACCAGCAACAGCACAGAGTTGCAGGCGGCATTTAACAACCCTCAGAAAGCACCATACGGGCCGAGGGCAGCCTGCAACTCTGCACGGCAATGCAGCGAGTGCGAAGCGACTTGTGTGCCGACCCAAAAGACAGCGGGGACAGCAGAGCAGAGAGTCACGGATGGGGGCGAGTCGTGCTGACACTCGTCATGGATGGAAGAGAGCCATGCCGTGCCTGCTGCGTTGAAACCATCAGGCGTCTGGAAGACTCGGTCGACTGGGAAGGCGCCTTCGGATTGGCTTGGCTTGACTGGGTTGACTTGCGGTTGACTTTGAGCTTGACTTGATGTTGACTTGACGTTGACTTTGAGGTTGACTTGAGACTGACTAGAGGGTGACATGAGCTTGAATGGAGGTTGAGTGAGCTTGAAATGAGATTGTCTTGAGGCAAACTTTGGCTTGACTTGAAGAGAGAGCATTCGGAGTTGACTTGACGGATGTACTCGTTAGAAGCAGGTTCTCTAAGCGCGCACGACCTTGCGCTTGCGCACTTCTGTGGCCAGCGACTGAGCCACAAAGGACCTCGCCCACTGCTCCACCTCCTTGCCACCCATCGCCACCAGCTCCTGGGAGGATAATCGACCAATGGGAGGGATGGACAGACGGATGGGATGCGGTGAATGAGATGGTGAGGGATGGTGCCTCATAAACCCTCGCCCGCTGCTCCACCTCCTTTGCCCCCATCACCGCCAGCTCCTGGGGGGAGGGCAGAGCGGGGGGAAAGGCCGGAAGATGGGGGTGGGTGGGCAGAGAAAACCCAGCTCTAAGGCTTTCGAGAGATCTCAAAAACAGAAAAGTCACCGATTCCTCGAGGCTGCTCAGCAAAACCAATGACTACCAATAGTGGTGATCAGAGAAAAACATCACCTCTCTCACAAACCGACTTACCAGCAGTGCCTATTGGACGCCTCCATGACTACCTCGACAAAGAGGCTGGTGCCGACCTCGCGCTCTGAGGCACTCATGGAGGCATCCACATAGGCACTGCGGATGGCGCGATGGATGGCTAACAGCTCGAGGCAACTCAGCCTATAACTACAACTCAGATGGGTGTCTAGGGAACTGCCTCACCTCGACAAAGAGGCTGGTGCCGACCTCGCGCTCAGAGGCACTCATGGATGCATCCACATAGGCACTGCGGATGGCCTGTGCGTACTGCTGCAGCTCGTGCTGTGAACACTCGTGCTGGGGGAGGGGAGGGGGGGGGGGGGGGGGGGGGGGGGAGATAGAGAAGAAAGGAGTTTGGTTCAGTGAAGCAGACAACAGGGAATATGGTGGGTGGGTGGGTGTTAGTCGGCGATTCTGTGTTGCTCCCTGCTCAGTACACATAAATGTGAGGACATTCGATTTAAGGCAACTCAATACAAGTGTCAGCAGCACAAATATACATGAGAGGATATAAAAAAAGACAACTCACAATGCAGCAGCGGAAACATACGTGTGAAGCAGAAGCACGGGGAGAGGGAGGCCCGGATGCAATGGCAACAGCCAGAGGCTTGGGTGCAGCCACGTTCGGCCGGAGCAGAGCTTCGGCGATGTAGCCTCGGGCCCAGTCCTCACTGGCGCCATGTAGGACGAGCTCCCGGACCAATCCGTCCACTCCGTGCTGCTGCTGAGCTGGCGACGCTGACGTGTCAACGTACGACGGGAAGAGAGCCCGCGCGTACACCTTGAGGTAATTCTCCCGCTCCTCGGCCGAACGATGCCGCCCACCACCCGACGCCCTCCTGCCTACAAATTTCGTGCTAAAAGCAGACGGCGCAGCTGCTGCTGCTGCTGCTGTTGCTGCCGTCCCCACCGCTGCTTCTGCTGTGACTGTTGCTGTGGAACGAACAGGTGCAGCTGCTACGGCAGTGCCGGTTGCAGTGGCGAGGGCAGGGGCAGAGGTGGCGGTGCGAGAGGAACGGGAGGAGCGAGGGGACTTGAGGGAAGCAAGAAAGGCAGAGAGAGTGTGAGAGGAGGAGGAGAGGGAGGCAACGGCGGAGGAGGGGGAGGAGGAGGGGGAGAGGGAGGGGGAAGAGGAGGAGGAGGAGATGGGGGAGAGGGAGGGGGCTGAAGCGGAGGAGGGGGAGACGGGGGAGAGCGAGGGGAGAGCGGCCTTGAGTGCGAGGGAGGGTGGCGAGGCGGCCATTGACTCGAGCGTGTGCTGGATGTTGGCGAGCTGAGGGAGGGGGAGGGAGGAGGGCGTGGGGGAGTGGGTGGTGAAGACACGGTTTGAGAAATGGAGGGGCAATGGAAGGGGCAGATGGAAGGGGCAGATGGAAGGGGCAGATGGAGAGGGGAAGCAGCCATTGACTCGAGCATCGGCTGGATGTTGGCGAGCTGAGGGTGGGGTAGGGAAGAGTGGGTGGAGGTAAGTAAGAGACAGGGCATTCGAAATAGAGAAGCTGTGGGAGGGGGATACGGGAAACATGGAGAGAAAAGCCTTTTAAAGCGGTGCTTAAAACAATGGGATACATGGGGAAAAAAGTCTCACCATCCCTTGTGCATCTTACCTTACTCATCATGTCGCCAATCCCTGCCAACGACCCCCCACTGCTGCCGCCACTCACCACCCTCTTCCCCTCATCTCCCTCCCGCTCCCCCCTCTCCCCGTTTCCCGGCCCCCCCTCCGCGCCTTTCCCCATCTTCGCCCCAGCCTCCGCGGCCCTCCGCAGCCCCTCCTCCCTGCTCCGCCGCCTCTCCCCCGCGTCCGCGCCCACGCGCGCGCACAGCTGCGCCACGCGCGCAGCCTCCTCGTCCGCGCGCTGCTGCGCGAACGCGAGGGAAGACACGAGCTGCGCCTCCATGCTGAGCAGCGCCGCCGCGGAGGGGGAGGGCGCGGACGAGCGCAGCGAGTTCAGGCGAGCCTTGGTCCACGCAACCGCCTCCAAATACTTGTCCCATGACTCCTCCGCCTTGACCTGGCGAAAGGAAGGGCGAGAGAAAGAGAGCAAGAGAGGGACGGAGAGAGGAAGGCAGTTGAGGGTGAGTGCAGACGCGCCTTGGTCCACGCGACTGCCTCCAAATACTTGTCCCATGACTCCTCCGCCTTGACCTGGCGAAAGGAAGGGCGAGAGAAAGAGAGCAAGAGAGGGACAGAGAGAGGAAGGCAGTTGAGGGTGAGTGCAGACGCGCCTTGGTCCACGCGACTGCTTCCAAATACTTGTCCCATGACTCCTCCGCCTTGACCTGGTGGGAATGCAGGGAAAGAGAAGAGAGGCATGGGGATTGCAAGGGGAGGGCGCAGTGAGTGCATGGCCGGTGGGGGGTGCATGGCCGGTGGGGGGTGCATGGCCGGTGGGGGGTGCATGGCCGGTGGGGGGTGCATGGCAGGCAGCAGCAGGTGCATGTCAGGGGAGGGCGCACAGCAGGTGATCTTACCAGTTCCAGCAGGTGATCTCACCAGTTCCAGCTCTACAAGAGAGAGTGCTGCCGTGTCCACCACAGGCGGCAGGGGATGCACGGCAGGGCAGGGCAGGGCAGGGCAGGGCAGGGCAGGGGAGGGGAGGGCACATGGGAGGGGAGGCAGCAGGGATCCCATGGCAGGTGCTCTCACCAGTTCCAGCTCCACAGGGGACAGTGCTGCCGTGACCACCACAGGCAGCAGCGGCAACGGCTGCTGCTGCTGCCACATGTCACTAGGAGATGCATGGCAGCAGGAGGTGCATGGCAGGGATACAACGTAAGGGGAGGGAGGGTGTTCTCACCAGTTCCAGCTCCACAGGGGACAGTGCTGCCGTGTCAACCACAGGCTGATGAGGCTGCTGCTGCTGCGGCTCCTCCCTTGCGACCTGCACTGGCTCGCTCTCCTGTGCAGTTACTGCCTGTCCAGTTGTCGCCTGCGCGGCTGTGCTCTGCGCCAGCACACCGTGACGCTCTGCCAGCGAGCGCAGCACCGACAGACGCACCTGGCGGGGGCGAGCAGGGCACACGAAATGAATGGGAATCGGGAAATGAATAATGAGAGGGGAAATTGGAAAGAGCTGCCTGCGCGACTGTGCTCGCGAGTGTGCTCTGCGCCAGCACACCGTGACGCTCTGCCAGCGAGCGCAGCACAGACAGACGCACCTGGTGGGGTCAGTGACAGAGAAACGGGAGTGGGGAGTTGAGAGTGGGAGATGGGAGAAGAAGATACGAGAGGAAGTTGAACGAGAGATGAGAGAGGCGCACCATGTCATCATGTCATGAGAGAGGCGCACCATGTCATCATGTCATGAGAGAGGCGCACCATGTCATCATGTCATGAGAGAGGCGCACCATGTCATCATGTCATGAGAGAGGCGCACCATGTCATCATGTCATGAGAGAGGCGCACCATGTCATCATGTCATGAGAGAGGCGCACCATGTCATCATGTCATGAGAGAGGCGCACCATGTCAGTAGCCCTCCCCGCTTTCCCCCTTCCCCCGTTCACCATTCCTCTCGTCCATTCCCCACCTAAGCGGCGTGGTGTCACCGACTATCATCGTCTGCTTTTGAGGACGGGAGTAATGGCGCCTCAAAAGTAGACACCTGAGCAGCGTGCTGTCGCCTTCTCTGATGCTTTTCAGGCGCCTCAAAAGCACGCACGCACGGACGCTGCTCAGGCTTTCCCCACCTGAGAATCACTTTTGCGAATTCTCAAAAGTTGAGGCGCCTCAAAAGCACGCACGCACGCTCCTCAGGCTTTCCCCACCTGAGCAGCGTGCTGGCACCGCCTCTCTGGTGCCTCTCAACGCCTGCCCACTGCAGCCGCTCTCTCTGCCTACAACCTTCCCCAAATCCTTCCCCACCAAATCCTAATCCCCAATCCGCACCTCCCACACCCCATTCCCTGCCCCCATCCTCTCCTCTCCACGCCCGGTCGCTGCAGCCGCTCTCTGCCTACAACCTACCACCGTCCCCTTTCCCGATTCCCCAGTCAGCCATCCTCACTGCCAACACCCACCTGAGCGGCGTGCTGTCGCCTCCTCTCAACGCCCGGTCGCTGCAGCCGCTCCCGCTGCCTATGCCGCCCCGCCCGCAGCGCCTGCACCGACCCCGCCACCACCCCCTGCTGCGCGGCCCCGTGCGCGCCCCCCTGCGCCTGCGCCTGCTCCTCCTCCGCCTCCTCCCACTCCTCCTGCGCCTCTCCCTCCGCGTCCGAGTTGCCCGGCGCATTAGACGGCGCGTTAGACGGAGAGGACGGCGCTACAGCCGTGGGGGTGACGGTGACGGCACGTGGAGTGACTTTCCCCTCAACCACGTCGGTCACACGTTGCCGCAGCTGGGGAGAACGGGGGGGAATGGGGGAGAACGGAGGAAAATGGGGGGAACGGGGGAAAGGTGGGGGAGGGGGGTGACTACAGGCGCGTGGAATGACCTTCCCCTCAACCACGTCGGTCACACGTTGCCGCAGCTGGGGGGAACGGGGGGAACAGAAGGTGGTCGGAGGGGAGGAGGCGGGTGAGAGGAGAGAGTTATGGGAGGGGGAATGAGCAACAAGGTGACTGTTGAGAACGCGTCACCCCATCCCACATCCCACGCGTCACCAGTCCACACCCCACCTTCCCCCCGTCTTTCCCCGCCCCAGCGCTAAGACGCACCTCCGGGTGCGCCTGGAGCAGTTCCCCCCGGCGGCTCTTTGCCGCCTCCACCGCCGCGGAAGCCGCGTCCATGCGCGCCTCCAGCGCCTGCAGCTCCGCGCGCATTGCGCCGCGCTCCTCCCGCCCCTCCAGCACGTGCGCGCCCGCCTGCAAGGACCAATAATGATAAAAAAAAAAAAAAAAAAAAAAAAAAGGTATCACGGACGGAATAACAGAGTAACATGAAGCCTGCATGCTCCATACGGCCCACAGCCATTGCACTACGTCCCAGCGTTAACCATTCATCACATGCGCACCTTGCGCATTTCCAGTGGGACCGAGGTAGGATCCGCGTTAGCCGCAGCAGCAGCAGCGGAATCATCGTCGCCCAATGACGGGGATGTGAACGATGACGTCATCGGCGCCACGTTGGCAGGCTTGATGCTGACGTGGGCTACCACGTCATCGGACACCTCGCGCAGATGGTCTTCCGCCAACTGCTGCGGAGCTGCTGAGCGCGGGGAGGTGGCGGAAGATCCGCTGGCGGAGGCTCCAGGGGCTGGCGCACGGCGGAAGAGGAGAGGTGCGGAAAACGCGTAAGGTTAGGCTTGCAAAGAGAGAGTGGCGGAGAAAACAGAACGCGGTGCGGTTGCAGTAAAACACGATAAGAGGATAACCTGTAATAGAGTCGTGCGAAGTTAACCGCCCAAAACCCGATGGATGAGTCAAATGCATACCGTGCGGAACGATGAGATTCGCGATGAAGTTGGTCGCCTTCTCGTTTCCCCCCACGATCTGCGACAGCAGCGGCGACGCCGCTTCGATGGCCTGGCGGAATCCACGCAAGAGAACGGGACGGGAAGACAAGCGGAGTGGATAAAAACGGGAGAGGATGAAACCAGGAGACCAGAGTCCGGGAGAGGATGAAACCAGGAGAGGGGATGCACGAAACCAGGAGAGGGGATGCACGAAACCAGGAGAGGGGATGCACGAAACCAGGAGAGGGGATGCACGAAACCAGGAGAGGGGATGCACGAAACCAGGAGAGGGGATGCACGAAACCAGGAGAGGGGATGCACGAAACCAGGAGAGGGGATGCACGAAACCAGGGTCCAAGAAAGGCAGGAACAGCACCACGGACGGTCGCATGAATGTAACCGCGACTATGGTTGCCATTCGCACAGGTCCACCCGTCGCCTGTCCATCACACCTCGTCCCGCCTCACCCTCGCCACTCCACCTTGTTCCAACCACCCACGCCTCCCTCGCTTCCTCTTCCCCGCGTCCCGTCTCGCTAACTGCCGCACCCAGACTCGCTACTTAACTTCCCGACCCCCCTCCGTGCCGCCACCCACTCCACCCCCCTCCGCATTATTCCCCGCAGCGCACCTTGCTGTGGTTCTCCAGCGTCGCCGCGGCCACCTTCGCCATTTCCTTCGACGCGCGCTCCGCGCCGCGCGCCATCTCCTCCGCCGCCTTCGCCATGCGCTCCATCCACGACCGCGCTCCTGGCCGCGTCTCGCCCGCTCTGCGCAACGGGGCAAAACGCAGAGAACAGCGGAGTTGCGCGAACGGGGCGGGATAAAAATGCCAGGGAAAAAGGGGAGGGGGAGAGGGAACGGGGAGAAGGGACAGCGGGAAAAAAAGTACAGTGAGTGGCCTGAAGGTGAGATGGGTGTCGGGTGGAGTAACGAAGGGGAGGGGTGGAAAAGGGGAGAGGGAAGGGGAAGAAGGGACAGCGGGATAAACAGTGCAGTGAGTGGCTTGACAGTGAGGAGGGTGTAGGGTGGAGTAATGCGCGGGGGAAGGGAGAGGGGGGGTTGGGGAGTGGTGGGAAAGAAACGCGGAGGACGTGGAAAGATGCGGAGGGGGAGGAACGCGGAAGCTGCCGGCGGAAGTAATGCGGAGAATGTAAGAAGGTAACCTATGAAGTATTAATGCGAGGGCAAAGAACGTACCGCTGAGCGCGGAAGATGGCGGAGATCGGGCGACGGCAGTTGCGCCTGAAGCTCACTGCAAGCACCAGCCAGTCCAGCAATGCCACGTGGGCGAGACGCAAACGGGAGAGGTCAGGCCAGTTCTACATCTTGCGACGTCTATAAAAAGGTTCGCTGCAGTGTAAGGGTGACGGATTAAGTTCTGACGCTGTTCACTAAAGTACGGCGGCTGCATCGCCAGACTCTTGGACGACGACAATGACAGATATCCCGCAACGGTGACCAATCGCCGTACATAAGCTGCATGTTGACACGTACGGTATATAACTAGCACGACTAAACGACGCGAAAGCTGGTCGACGTAACACGAAGCCTTTCCCCCTTTCAGGCTGCTGTTCCGACGAGCCTGTCCGACTAACCAATATCAGATGTCAGGCATAGTTCCACGTCGCTGATAACGTTCTGGTGATAAGAAGCGGTGGTAGACTAGCGGACTTACGCGTTACGCGCTTCGTCCGCATGGGAACGACGAAGGCGGTGCTGAACTGCGGGGTATTGGGAGCTTTCCGCCACCGCGCGCCCATGTAGGGCGCAAGGGCGGGAGGCGCGCATATGCGCATCGCGACGATGGCTTGACTCGCCATTGAGGGGCTATTAGCAGACTACACGGCAATCGGCGGATAAAGCGTTTAGGCTTAGGTGCTTACGTAAACTCTTAGCTGCTTACATGAACTTCGTAAGGTAAAAAAAAAAACCACTAACTTAGCAAACGGATGTTAAGAATAATAATATCTATTGGATAGCAGAGACGGCGTGGATGCTCCCAATGTGCTACCCTGACAGAAGGCTGAGCGGGACTTTCGGTCAGCCTACCCTACAAACCAAGTCTGAGATCTGAAATGCCAACTAACTTGGGAGCACCCAGACCTTAGTGGTTGTGGTATGGTCGCTCGCTCACTAAATCGAAGCGGGGAAGGGGGAAGGGGAAGGGGAAGGAGGGCAGAGGGATAAGGGGAAAGGGTAGGGGAAGGTACAGGGGCGGACGATGAGGGGGGAGGCAGGGGGAAGGGTTGCGGAGAAGCGAAACGCGCGAAGTTGGGGCAGACGAAGCGGAAATCGGGGAAATGCAAGGGGGGTGAGCGATATGACAGACTGGGAGGAGAGTGCGTAGAGGGCGGAAGCAAAAGTAGGGGGGAAGAGCTCATGTTTGAAGTTCAAAATAAGGCGGGCGGAAAAGGCCTCTGGCCCCTGCGTGCGCGTTCAGGTCGGTCAGATCGAGGATTCGAGGCCACCCTTGAGAGTTGCGCGATAAGTTTGCGGGGGAAGGGCCAATCGTATCGGAGGATCTCTGAATACTATTGCAATCTGAAAATTGTTTTCTACCGTCAGATCTAACAGCAAGGCAGATATCGATGGGGCTGCTCGCACGGTCTCTGCATCCCACGTCGGGCCGCGTCAGCTTTTCCGTGACCCAAAGCGGCTCGCAAAGACGCCACTGTGGCAGTGCCGTGATTTTGAAAACCTTGGGGTTGCCAACATAAGATGGGATAAGGGAGTGAAAGAACAGATTTTGATGTTTCAGAAGATATTTTTACAATGTAAAGTGATTTAACATTCTAACAAAAAGGCACAGACGATTATTTCTCCCACTTCTTTTTCGATCGTGCCGAAAGCTCTGGTAAGCGTCTTCATTCATGGCGGCCTCCGAGGGTACACATCCTCGATATCAGCCGCTTCAGCACTGCGCTTTATGGCCACAAAACATACAAACGAAGTGAACCCACTTTTCAGCTCAACACAAATCGAGCCAGTTACTGCGACACACATTATTGCAAATTCCACCGCAATGTGCGGCATGCGTCGAAACACAGCACCACGCCTGTGTTTAGGTGGATGAGCCTTGCACGGCGTGGCGCCAGCCAGGCGCCGAGCGAACTATCGAGTGGGCGTGGGCATGGGGCCACGGCATGGCGCTCCGCTCGTTCGTGGAAGCCTCTTTTCGTCGTGTGACGACAGGGAACGAGAGGCGACTGACCGACAGAGGATCGCCGCCGCTTGATCCGTTGTGGTGCGGATTTCCTGCATTCCTCATTTCCTGCGTTTGACATCGCGTACGGCACATACTCGTTTTGAGACGTCTCAAGACTAGATTTCCTGGGTTTGACATCACGTTACGTCACATACTCTCCGGCTTCGGTATTTCGCGCCTGCTGCTTCACTGCGCCCCTGGCATCCCGCACTGACACAGCAATGGCGGAAAATTCCGCGCAAGCCACTCCTCCGGCGCTTGTGGCGGAAGCTACAGTGGTGAATTCTGTCTTCGCCGCGTGGGGGAGCGGGCCCGCGCCAGCTGCGGCAGCGGCTGTTGCGCCTGAAGCGCCTGTAGAGGCTGTAGCCCCTGTAGCCCCCGAAGAGCCTCCAGCCCCTGTAGCGCGGACGCCGCCACTGCGCACGCCGACGCCGGACGTCACCTACTCGCTGCCTCACGCCGTCGTGGCGACTCGTGCGCGCGCCGCGACGGTGCGCCTGCGATGCGGGCGGCGAATTGCGTATCTGGAGAAAGGGATGGGCGCAGCGCAGGCGACGCGGACGCTGCTGGTGCTGCATGGCCTGGGATCGTCGCGACTCGCCAACATGCCAGGTGAGCTAAAGTCTCAAAATTTCAGACACTTCGAATGACAACGTGCATTCAAATTCCCGGATGCTGCTTTTCCTGACTTTTTTGTGGATTCTAAACCCTTAAACACCCCCCCCTCCCCTCCCCCCCTCCCCCCCCCCCTTCTCTCAGGAGTGACGGACGAGCTTCTGTGCTCTTTCGGTGTCCGGGCTGGTGGCCATCGATCGCCCAGGGTACGGCCAGTCCGACCCTGCGCCAGCCCTCTCGCTGCACTCCTTCTGTGCGGACCTTGAGGAGCTGGCGGATCTGCTCTCGGCTGGGGCACAAGTGAGTGGATAGATGCGGAGTGATCAAGCACGTGCAGGTGGTATGTGATAGCGGTTTCCACAGTCCACCCCGCGCCAGCCCTCACACTGCACTCCTTCTGTGCGGACTTCGAGGAGCTGGCGGATCTTCTTGCCTTGGGATGCAAGTGAGTGGGTTCACCATTTAATCACCAATCACCTTGTGGGTGGTCAGTGGGGGTGGTCAGTGTGGGTGGTCAGAAGACCACGTGCACTCCTTCTGTGCGGACCTTGCTCTGGGGCACAAGAGAGAGGATCGATTCAGAGTGACCAATTAGTGAGTGTGGTCAGTGAGAGTGGTCAGTGAGAGTGATCAGTGACATTTCCTTTCCTCTTCTCCCCAATCAGGTTCTACCTGTTGGGGTACTCAGCAGGAGGAGCGTACTGCTGGGCGGCAGCGCACTACATTCCCCACCGCATCCTGGGAATTGCCCATGTGGGCGCCCTTCAGCTCATTCTACTGGCAGGTGTGACTGTAGTGAATAATGGTGTGACTTTAGTGAATGGGTAGGTCTGTGACTTCGCTGAACCGGTAGGTAGACCTGTGCTGAAAGGCATGATGCTTGCATGACCCTTGCCGTCCCGGATGCTGTGATGGTGGGATATTTCCTGCTGGAACATGCCCTTTCCTCGCACTCCCCTCCCCCCCTCACATCACTCCATTCATTCCCCTCCCACAGGGAATATCAGAGCAGGATAGGGAGGCCATGTTCGCCGGCATGACGCCCCACTCCCGCCGCTCCCTCCGTCTCGGCCGCTACGCCCCTCTCTGGCTCATCCGCCTCTTCATTCGCAACTTCATCGTTCCCTTCTCTGGTGAGTGCCTTTCTATGAATTTCAGTACGTGCTGTGCCCCTTCGGCTGCTGTGCCCCTTCGGCCGCTACGCCCCTCTCTGGCTCATCCGCCTCTTCATCTGTAACTTCGTTGCCTTAGCTGGTGAGTGCAATTGTTTCAGCGACTAGCATCAAATTTCTGAGTCAGTTGTTTTCTCCCATGGGCTCATCCGCCTTTTTATCTGCAACATCGTTCTTCCCTTCTCCCCGCCCCTTTCCCAGGTCCCTTATGGGTTCAGCGCCTGCAGCACAGCCTCTCACACGCCGACCGCCAGTACCTGCTGCACGCGCAGGGCGCACAGGCGCTGCTGAACGACAATACCGAGTCGCTCCTTATGGGAGCGCACGGCGAGGGCATGGCCAAGGACGTTGAACTCTTCAGCCGCCCCTGGCCCTTCGATGTCCAAGACATCTGTGATATCGGATGCTTTGATAATACCCAAGACATCTGTGATACTGGGTGCTTTGATCATACCCAAGACATCGGCGATATCGCCAGTATCCGAGACTCCACATGTGAATCATCCAAGGCAAATTCCCTTCTGCCACCGCAAATCCA